GTTAGTCTCTAAGGTGCCACAAGTACTCCTGTTCTTTTTGCGGATACAGACTAACACGGCTGCTACTTTGTAACCTATGACTCTTAAGAAATTCTGTTGACCTTTTCCCATCAAATTTCCAACTAAACACAACAACACACTCAAGTTAAAAGTTTTATAGATTCATAGATTCTAGGACTGGAAGGGACCTCAAGAGGTCATCGAGTCCAGTCCCCTGCCCGCATGGCAGGACCAAATACTGTCTAGACCATCCCTGATAGACATTTATCTAACCTACTCTTAAATATCTCCAGAGATGGAGATTCCACAACCTCCCTAGGCAATTTATTCCAGTGTTTAACCACCCTGACAGTTAGGAACTTTTCCTAATGTCCAACCTAGACCTCCCTTGCTGCAGTTTAAGCCCATTGCTTCTTGTTCTATTCTTAGAGGCTAAGGTGAACAAGTTTTCTCCCTCCTCCTTATGACACCCTTTTAGATACCTGAAAACTGCTATCATGTCCCCTCTCAGTCTTCTCTTTTCCAAACTAAACAAACCCAATTCTTTCAGCCTTCCTTCATAGGTCACGTTCTCAAGACCTTTAATCATTCTTGTTGCTCTTCTCTGGACCCTCTCCAATTTCTCCACATCTTTCTTGAAATGCGGTGCCCAGATCTTGTTTTAATGACATTAGGTTTCTGATCAAACTGAAAGCCAAGTCATTCAAAATTGTAGGGACAAATTCTATCTTTGAAGCGTGTGTTTATTTGTCACTGACTTTGCCTGGTATACATCTCAGAGCAGACTATGGCTCACCAGTCTTGACTGCACTGGGAATTTACCCTGATCCCAACCACTGAACCTGAAGTGTAGACATGAAGAGCCATGATTTGCACTGGCACAGCTTCCCTTTGCTTGAAGCATGGCTAAAATCAGAGCAAATTCTTCCTGTAGACAAGACCATAGCTGCCACCGAGTCATTCCAGCAGGATGTAAAGCTGATGTTTCAGCCCTGACTTTAGATTTCCCCATTTGTTCCAATTATGCCAGAAATTTCAATGCTATTTAAATATTTTAATGTATTTTTTTTTTATTTCTAATTGACTGATAGGGTAAAAATCATTTTTAAAATGTATAAATATCCCTATTTACCCTGCAAATAGAAATGACCCTGCTGAAGATACCTGAATCCATGAAGCTGCTTTAAAAATATTTTTTACATATCTGATTCATTACATGATTTGCCTAAGTACCTACAATGGCTCTCTGGGTCAAACAATATGTTTTTCATTAATTTCCTTGACATTTTTTGTTTGTTTAGAAATTAATGTTAAGAAAATAAGCCAGCAAGGACATTCACATACAAAATCTACATTTAAATAATGTTAAAGTCCTTTCCCAAATTTTGGGAAATTCAACTTTGGGCTGGTGCCTCCGCTCTGACATCGCAGGGCCATAGTCTCCAAAGGCCTTCTCTGGACTGAACTTGTGATGTCTGCAACCTCAGTTCTTTGTCAGATGTGCACAAATTGCAAAATTTGCATTCTAACGTGGACTTTGAACACCTCCAAATTCAGTATGGTTTCATACCCAGTTTTTGAGCTGGCCCATTACAAAGATGGGGGACATTTGCAACATTCAAAGCAAGATCTGGGACCAGATTTTGAAAACTTCCAAAGTTTCCTGGGGTTCAGATCCTGGGTTTTGTTTTAAGGACATTTCTTCTTCTTCTGCATGCATGTGGACACACACACAGCTTCTGTATGCCCAAACAGACACGGTTGCCAATACCACAGGTGCAGGTAAGAAGGGCCATTGAAAATTTGGCTCACAGCTTGTCTGGAACAGTGTCATTAACTTTGAATTTCCTAGCTTTTCTTGGGTTTGTTCACAACTTAGCATATCCTAAAACTAGTTTCTGTGTTTGAGTGTACAGAGATTATATAGCTAGAAACACAGAGGTGCAACAGATGCTACACACAGGCTAAGCAGCAGTGAGGCAGAGGGGAGAAGGTTTACTTTGCATTTCTCATTGGAGGATATTTATGAGCCAAAAATCAAACCTTCTCTCCAAAAAATTAATGTTTCTCAACCATCAAACTGAGAAAATGTTGCATTACTGACTCTCCAGCAACTGCATATGCAATGGGAGTGGGGGAAGGAATGGAGATAGAAGGATCATGTGAGGAGTCATGGGGAGGATTAGACTGGAATTTGCAATGAGAAAAACTATGTAAGTGGATGAGCAAAAAAACCATCAGTTAGGTCCAAATTCTGTTCTGAGTTACACCAGTGTAAATATGGAGGAAATCCACTGAAACTGAGCTGCGAGTTTTTCTTTGCTGTGTAGACGTACTCTAGGTTTACTTGCATGTGCAAAAGCACATGTGTTCCTCGAATTGGGTAATTGTTTACAGCTGAGCAGTCAGCTATGCAAATGCAGATTTTTGCATAAGTAAATGGAATCACCTGCAAATATCATGGGTGCATTTCTAGTGGTCCATTAGAAAATGCATCTCTGTGGGCCCCATTGGAGTTTGCCAACATTTTTGTGCTCACCTATCTACACCTTTTTTTGCACGTTTAAATACAGCTGCATGTGCAAAAGCCAGATTTACACATTCATTTGCAGCAATTTTCCACGTAAATGTAGCCTGTGGGCCACATCTTATGAAAGTCAGGCCAGGTGAGTTTAGAGAGAGCGTGGGAATAAACTGCCCTTTATAAATATGGATTTTAATGTACGATAGTTCCAAATTCAAAGCAAACACTCTTACTGAGGTTAGGTGTCTCAGACAATAATTACTTTTAGTTAGATACATCACAGGAGCTACTCAGGATTCGAATTCTAGAGGCAAAAGAAGGCTCCAGGCAGCTTGACTGGGGAAGAAAGAATTGCAGAATATGGCAGGAATGGGGAGGAAGCTCTGGACCTGCAAAGGTCCCTCCTCTCTATCCTTGGAGACATAGATGCACAGGACCCCCTAAAAAGAGCAGGTTATCTCCCTCTCACTCATATACTGAGGCTAATTGGAGCTGAAGATTATACATCATTTCCCCCCACCACGCCCAGGCAAGTGCTGCATATTGCCCCTGATTAGATGTATACAAGAATTATTTTATTTTCCCTCCAGAAGCCGTAAAGACCCACCTCTTCAGTAGGGGATTTCCTGCCCTGGTGGGTGAATCTCACAGACTCAGAGACTTTAAGGCCAGAAAAGACCATCATGATCGTCTTGTCTGACCTCCTGCACACTGCAGGCCATAAAACCTCCCCTTCCCACTCCTGCAATAGGTAACCTCTGACTGAGTTACCGAAGTCCTCAAATCTCGTTTGAAAGACTTCACGTTATAGAGACTCTCATGGAATCACACTGAGTTCCTGGACAAGAGCTGTATGTTTCCCTCTAGGTGGTGTTTTATGGCTGCCAGATTGTGTGCAAACACCCACCCCCCCCACACACACACACACTGATACCACTGAAATATAGTGCGTTATGCCTAAATTTGTCTTTTCCCTCCTTAGCTTCCCAGGCTGCTTCTCCTAATGACCAGAAGGAACAAATACACCAGGTTTCTCCTTTCAGCACCAGCAGGTCAACCTTGCAAAATGGAGGGATTGTACCTGTATTAGGTGCAGCAAGGCTTAAGGGAAATGGGGGCATGCCGTATATTTGAAATATCATGAAAACTGGCCATTGACATTGGCGGGGGGGAGAGAGGGACACAAATAGCTGGCACAGTCCTGACTCCACTGCAGTTTTTCCCCTTCAGAAAACACGCAAGGTGTAGGGCTCTAGTTAAATGGGTGGATTCGGTGGACATGGCAATGGCTGTTGTGTAGCAGCCCTGGCTGCGGATCCCATAATGCACCAGCAGATTTCCTATGACCCATCCCTTTGAGCGATCCCTGCAAGCTCTGTGACAGGACAGGACCACTTTGTGACTTTGTTTTGGTCCTGAAAGAAACCTTCTGCATCATCAGTTTCCCCCCAGCTTCATGCACCAGTAACGATGCCATGATCTGGCTTTTCAAGAGGGAGAGAAAGAGGAAAAAATAGAAAAACGTCCGCTGCCCGCATTTATGGATAAATACAGATCACAGGTGTATTAAAAAAACCAGGAGGAAACAAGGAAGCACCTCAGGACTCAGCATGAAGGATCTAAACAAAGCAATGGAGAAGTCATAGCTTTGTGATCCGGGATGGGATAGCGGAGGAAAGGAGGAAGGAACTTTGCTGGGAGTCTGGTGCATGCAAAAGCATCCAGGCATAATGTGAACAGTGTACAAAATGGGCAATATTTTGAGTTCCAGGGCCCAGCCGCTGCTGGTGCTCTCGTTCCTTGCCGTGATCTCGAGTAACGTCCCTCTCCCCGTAGCTCTGTCTCTTGTGGCTGTAAGTTCACCACAGTGCTGCTGGCAATATCAAAAATTACGAGAGCAACTTCAAGTTACTACAACCCCGTAGGTGGAATTATGGCTTCCCGTTCTGTACATTTTGGCGGGTACACTATTAAATATAATACATGGTTTAAATGTAAAATGCCTTCTCCCCAGTCCTATGTGGTGTTCCTCTTTGCCTTCAAAGACACATTTTGTGTCTTTGACCTTCCTCCTCCACCTAAGCCCCATGACAAATTTAATTTGAAAATCATTCTGGTTCCAAATGGTGCCCGCTAACATTCTACCTCGACTCATCCTGACAGCATACGTCTGTCTTAGGGCAATACCGTAACGTGAATGTAAACACCCCAATTTGTCAAGAGCCAACTGGGCTTCCATGTATTATACAGTAATTACACTACATTCCCGAATGGTTAATGGAGGATCACGTTCCATAAATTCAAAAGTAATCATCGTGTAACCTGGAATGTTTTACAAGACAGAAATAATCATGTATTTGCGGTGCAACTCCAAAGTATTTGACTGTGTAATTACCCAGTGTCATGGTATGGTAATTACCATGTAAAAGATACGGTCAGTCACCACTTAATCCCCCCACTCCTCCCCCCAAAAAAACCTTGCAGGTGATATTTGTGCCCTGTACCCTAAAGGATTACCAAGAAATGTGGTTGCCTACCCTGTACTGTGACATCGTTTCACCTAATTATCTTAGAAAGATAGTATGAAAGAAATCCAGACACTTCAAGGCTCCGAATTATTCACCACAGTGGCCCCTTTCTACTGAATGCTGGCTCAGCGTCTGTCCCCAGAGTAAGCTGTAAGAAAATATCCACAAGCTAAGTATGTTCTGGATTCATAAAACCTTAGCTGTAGATCTCCTCCAGAAGTTCAAGGTGGGGATGGCATGAGTGGGCGGCTGGCCAGTGCTCTGACTTGGCTCAATAGATGTCAAAATGCTTCACTGTCTAGGGGCTGACCAGCCCATGTCACTGAAAGGTCCTTCACCTGTGGCTGATCTGGGAGGCGGGCCACAAGGTGTGCAGAGGTCAGAATCAGTGTCTGACTCTCCTTCTGCAATGTAGGGTCTGATTTTGGCACAGGGGGCCACTGCTGCATAGCAACCGTTGTTAAGGACGTCCAAATTTTCTTTGGACTGGGAAATGCTAAATCCACTAAAGGAGCGTTCCAGTTCCTCGTGATCCACCGACGGGATGGAAATGGACGTGTCACTGTCTCTCAAGGCGCTGTCGTGGTGTTTAGCTGTAATGTCTTCATTCCTCAGGTGCTCGGCACTGGCCCTATTCCCGCTACTGTAAGCGGACAAGGAGCGCTCATGTGAAGGTGGGGGCGGGATTCTTACCAAAGAGCCAGGATCTCCAACTGGGGAGGATCCGTGGCTATGCCGCTGGTATGGCTGGTGCTGCCAGGACGTTGAAGGGGGACACGTGTTGGTTGGCATTGTTGGGGCTGGTGGTGCAGAGAAATTCTTTTGTCCCATTGAACTGGTGGACCTGATGATCTTGATGATGCAGCCATTTTTGTCCATGTGCTCCCGGCTGTCTTCTGGACTGTGGTAGGGTGGCGCCGGGTCTGGTTCTTTGGACCCAAAATAGGCTTCTGCTTCCGTTGGTGCGATACCCATCCGCTGCATGTAAATGTTCACCAGAAAGTCCAGCTTCTTCTCCATGGACAGAACCTGCAAAATGCCACACAGTTCCCTGTGCTGAGTGATGTCTGTGGACCAATACCCTCTATACAAAGAGCTCCACTCCTGTCCATGCTCGAATGGGGATCTGAATTTCATAGATAACCCCTTCCTACACTGGCACAAATCGGACTTCCTTGAACTTTGAGAGAGAGCTGGGATCCAAATCCAGTCTGAACTTTGGCAAGGGCCTCTCTGCTTTTATGGAAGATGGATTTTTAAAAATATTTTTAAGTTGTTGTACCCAAAAATCGTCATTTGGTGCGTTGATTTGTTTCTGCAACGCCCTTTGTGTTTTCTTTAAGCAAGCATAAATGCTTGTGAAATGTGACAGATTTCAATGGGACTGGAGAACACTCAGCACCAGGCCAGAGGTACTCAGCACTTCATTGGGTCAAGCCCTTACAGTGTGTGTATGGGGACTTTGTGTGAGCCTTGTGCTCTGGAGTGAATTTCACCTTGAACGAAGCCTGGATCCTGTGGCAATTAAAATCACACCCACGGCCTCACTTGAAGTTGTTTCGGTTAGAAAGGGAACACTTCAAAGGCCCCGAGGTCACTTTGGAACCAATGATCTGTTTTCAAAAGGGACTTTGAGATTTGGGCTCCTAAGGACCTATGACTTTCAATGTATCTTAGGCCCTTAAGGCTCAGATCCTCAAAAGTATTTTGGTGCCTAACTCCCAGGGGAGTTAGGTACTGACATACCTTTGAGTCTCTGGGCTTTAAGTACCTAAAGATCACTTTTACAAATAGGGTTTAAGCTGCTAAGTTATTTAGGCACCTTTGAAAAATCTTTCATCTATTCTTAATCTTAACTACTTTTAAAATCTCAACACACAACATGAACTTTTCCCTTATAAGAAACATCCCCCTCATACCTGCTTTTCAACTTTTCCAAGCCTGCCCATCATGCTTGGGTCTTCTGGAAGCTCCCCCTCTGCTGACCCTTTGGTTCGATCCTTGTCGGTCATTGATGTCCCTCGTCCAACAATCTGGTCCACTCTACCAGGAACAGAAACAACCCCCCCACCCAGAAAAGGCCGTTGAGTTAGTCAGATACATCAAGGAAACAGGACTCTGCTAGCTGCTGACTCTTTGTGGACAAAGCAACAACCTCTCTCCCAACGAGCACTCAAAATTACTCACACAACCAGGGAGAGGCAGCTAAGTGTTATCTTCGATGTAAACAAGTCGCTATATTTTCACAGTAGTATTAGCAGAGTTTGAAATCTATCGATTCTGTTTCTATAGATATAATCTGGCACGTTATGTTCAGTAAATTTGCCCACAGGGAAGAATTTCACTCTAAGCAGGGCTTCTACCAAATTAATTAGCATTGTATTTGTTACTGTTCATAATTTTGTTGTGAATAAAGTTGTCTGCCTGCTTTATCTAGATGAGATTCATGTTTTTCCACATCTTTACAGCCGAATCTTCTGCCTCTCTCCTACATATTCATGTCCATCGAGATAAGAGTCTATAATTCAGCACTGGAATGGTTACATACCTTATTTGTAATCCCTTTTCCCCTGTCTAAGAATTTAAGGCTCCACATGGAAGGCAGAGGAGTCCATATAGGAAGTCACAAGCTAATTATATTTAATGCATCAAACCTAAATTTGCTCTATAGGTAATTAAACACGGGCATGTCCTGATCTAATAAAAACCAATAAGACATCTCCAAGCCGGGACATATTCTTAATCTTAACCCGATATATAGCCATCTCCCTAAACATAATCCTGGCAAACTTTACTCATGCATAATGTGCCAGAAGTGTAGGTGACAAAAAACAGATTAATTAATCTGGTTGAAACCAAGTTAGTTGTCTTGAGCAGGAATAAAAAATGCTTCTTATGCAGTTCTGCAGTGTGGGCAATGGATCCATGCACCAGTATGAGACAAAGAATGGGCTGAACGCAGACAGACAAAGGAAAATTAACAAACAAAACACAAGGAAAGGGATGAGACACAAGGCCATTTCCAACAACAGAGCAGTCTAGTTGGCTTTGCTTTTGTGTGTGTGGGGGGGGAGGCTAGCTTCTTATACTTTCTTTTTTTAAAATAGAGGGTGAGATCATCAGTTGATATGTAGTAGCACAGCTCCCTGGACTATATTAGAGAGACAGCAGTTTACACTAGGTGAGGATCTGGCTCAGGGAGATAGGGAAGATGAGCACCTCATAGCCAAGGTAGCAAATATATATAAGCAAAAAATATTTGATCCAGGTGAACTGACTTAGGTAATCCTTTATTTAGGCAGAAATTTTCGGTACTACTGCTTCATCTATAAAGTAATGTCTGACCATTTACTTACATGGTGAGTACCATGTGCTATAATTACAAGGGTGAGTAACATATATGCCTTATTTCTGTGTTGTATGCAAAGGGCACGTTATTTACATTTATGAAGACTACCAAATGTTCAGCAGAAGCATGTAATTATCAACATGGTAAAATCCTACAAAAATGTTGTAACCATGTAAGCAAAGAGACATTTAACAGGAAAACTGGGGCTACCTTGATTTGGAATCAGAGGCCATGATGTAGTAAAGTCACACTCTGATCTCCTTCCCTGCATGTATAAACATGGAGACCCAGTAAAACAATAGTCGGGGCATGTGTTTAAAGAAGCTAAAAGTCTAATCACTCCTGATTATTTGGAGAGGTCAAGGAAAGAGGTTGCTTTCTTGTCCTGGTGTAACATCCTGATGTAGTCATTGTACTGGAAGAGCTTTATTATTCTATTTGAAACCAAAACCAAAATGTCCTTCAATAATAATTGCCAACTAAGGAAATGAGAGAGAACAATTTGTAGTATGGAGGAAATTAAGGCAGCCCCACTGGGGTGCCTCAGAGCATGCGCTAACCCTAGAAATACTCTTTTGCTCTTATAACCCTGATCCAGAATTCACAGATGACAATGTAAGACTCCTATTGACTTCGATGCAAGTGACTTAAGTTATCCAACTGTTCAAAGGAGGGAGTGAGGGGAAAGCCTGAGCAATGGAAAGCCTTCCTGCAACTTCCTCCAAAACCAGCATTTGCCTACACTGGCTTACAAAAAAAGGGCTTAACACACAAGCAAATGAATGCACAATTTCCCAGCTGGTGTGCACAAATATTTGTCCTCCCCAGTGGTATTTTTGTACGTGCATTGTTTGTGCATACAAGTGAGCCTCCACTTTTTTTTTTAAGTGGCCCTTACATCTGAATATTTCTGAAAGAGATGAAAAGAGAATTATTTCATAGCCCTCGTGTTTCGTTTCCATTTTAGAAACGTTGTTTGGCTTCATCTGGTGAATTTGGTTACTAATGGCCATCAGGGACTTTCAGCATTGGTTATTAACAGGTATTTTGCAGGCTGGCTGCTGTGTACATTTCCCAAATACACCTCTGCTTACATGTACACATCCTTGGCCTACAGCACCCTTTACTAGTCTAGTCTTAGCCCTGGTCTACACGGGGGGCTGGGAGGATCGATCTAAGTTACACAACTTCAGCTACGTGAATAACGTAGCTCTAGTCGACATACTTAGATCTATTTACCGAAGTGTCTTCACCGCGGTGAATCGACTGCTGCCACTCCCCCGGCGACTCCGCCTGCACCTCTCGTGGCGCTGGAGTACAGGAGTCGACGGGAGAACGCTCGGGGGTCGATTTATCGCGTTTAGACTAGACACAATAAATCGATCCCTGCTGGATTGATCGCTGCCCGCCGATCCGGCAGGTAGAGTAGACATACCCGTAGGCTCTTGCAGGGCACAGATTGTTAACTCTCCCCGTTGCATGGTGTTTTTACTGGGATGTAACTGAGCCTGACCATAGTAATTTCTGTGTAATGCTTTCTCACCCAGATTTCTAGCAATGAAAGTTAGTGTTAGGATAGGATTTCTAAAGGGGCACATAAGGAAATTAGGCAGCCAATTCCCACTGACCTTCAGTGGGAGTTAGTCCCCAATGCTTAAGGCACTTTTGAAAATCCCTTCACTTATGTACCACTAAGCCCCTTTTTCATCATTTTGTATTGCTGCTTTTTTTTTTTCAGTTCAACTCCATGGGAAACTAGATGTGCACAAAGTTTCAACGATAAACCAGCACGCTAGGTCTTCTTTTAAACCTGCCATAAAATGAAATCAAAGGCATCAATTCTTAAAGGCAGGTGCCAGAGTTGTGCCCCAAAGTGTTGTGCGCCAACCCTTTGTGCACCCCACTTCCAGTAAATGAGCATTTCAGCACCCAAGTCCGGTAATTATGTACCTAGCAATCCAGATGTCTGGGCAAATGCTGGATTGCAAGCAAAGGGCCGTGTGTGTGTGTGTGTGTGTGTGTGTGTGAGCATGGGTGTGTGCTTAAGGGGGCACCTTTCCCTCTCTTACATCCCTGTGCAGGAATCAGGCACAACTGCAGTCCCTGTGGTCATGTGAGTGCAGAAAAGTCTCCGTTGCCAGCATCCCTGGGGCACCCCACACAGGGCAGGAAGAGGAGCAGAGCAGGTCGAGAACATGTTACACTTTCCTAAGGGGCAGTGCAGGGTGAGCATTCTCACTGCTGCTGGGAGGAGAGGGGGGAATTCAGGAGGCCTCAGGCTTTCCCTAAGGTGCACAATGTCTCCTGGGAGTTCCCCTGGAGCAGTATGCTTCTGCACTAGCCCCAGGGAAAAGGCTTGTGCAATAAAGACACTATCTGGTCCCAAGTGGGTGCACTCACAAATTCCTGGGGATTTGTCTTAGGCATCAGCCTTTGAAAAATCTGTCCCTTGCTTTAGATTTGTGACAAAAGAGGATCAAAAGATTGCTGATGCTATGTGACCTACTGTATCACCTGCTAGGTTTGCCTGGTCCTGCTGCACCTTTAGTTTGAAAAAGCTTTATTTATTATTATTATTTTATTATTTATTATTAAATTTTAAATAATATCTTTCCTTCTTTTGAATGATACAGAAAAATGTAAAATTCTTGCATCAGCCATGGTGCAGTTTTTCTCATGCTTCATGCTTACAGTTCATGCAAAGAGGTGTGTCGAATGCCACCCTCCGGCCAGAAGCAGACATCAAAGGTCAAACGGCTCAAATGAGGAAAAAATGAAAAGTTTGGAAATATTTATTCAGTTTCTCTTTTTTTTTTTTTTACACAATCCAGGCACAGACACCAAACCCCCTTCATCCATGTCACATGACTGGCTACTTAACTTCTGATTGGTTAACAGTATTTGTACAAGACATATTTAATCTAATAATACCAACTACTCATGTCTATGCTGCTCAAAAATATAGCTGGGGCTACCTGGATTTTAAAGTAATTGTATCTTGAATCAGCTGAGCATTCGAAGTTCATGAGCATACAGTATGTGCTATATACTATAGGCTAAATTCTGCCCTCCGATACATGCTAGCAGTCCATTGTCTTCACTGTGAGCTATATACCTGTATCTGAAGGCAGAATGTGGTACTTACACACCCTTGGGCTGCCAAATCCAATCCAATCGGTTGAGAGAGTTCATGTGACTTCCAATAGTTTGGAACCACTGTTCGTCTAGCTGACCAACAGGTGGTTTTTATTTTATTTCATGTTTTGGTAATTGTCTGGCCAGTTGGCTGAAATGAGGACATGTGATGTAAAATAGAAGAAGCTCGATGCAGGGAAGCTCTGCTGCTGTGGCACATTTAGGGCAAAACCACCTCAGAGCTGGGGTGATTATCTTATCACCCACTTTGGGCCAAATCTGGGAGCTCTTACTCAGCTATAATGGTTGCTGTAGTTTTGCCTGAATAAGACTGTCTGGATTTGGGGCTTGAATCCTGCAGGGTGCTGAAAGCTCTGGCCCCGATCCATCAAAGCACTCAAGCAGGCGCTTAACTTTAAGCATCTGAGCAGTCCCCATTCACATAAATGGGGCTATTCATGTCCTTAAAGTTAAGCCCGTGCTTAAGAGTTATGCTGGATTGGGGCCAGAGTGCCCAGTACCCTTCAGGATTGAACTCTTTTTCACTAGGAGGGTGGTGAAGCACTGGAATGGGTTACCTAGGGAGGTGGTGGAATCTCCTTCCTTAGAGGTTTTTAACATCAGGCTTGACAAAGTCCTGGCTGGGATGATTTAGTTGGGGATTGGTCCTGCTTTGGGCAGGGGGTTGGACTAGATGACCTCCTGAGGTCCCTTCCAACCCTGATAGTCTATGATTCTTGGTCCTAGGGTCCATTTGGGACTCCTCTGCTGCTTTCTAAGGTTGTCAGCTGCACCCTAGTAAACAAAAACGATGGGGAAAATTAAATGAAAATGGGGCAATAAATACAAAATACCCCTAGGAGCCCCAGAGGGTAAAGCTCAATAATGCTGGAGGTAAGAATGGAATTATTTTCTGGTACTAAGGGTCAGAAATTGTTTATATAGCAGGAAAAAAATTCACCCCAAACAGTGACTGTTAATTTTAGCTCTGCAGTCAACTGAGGGAGGGTCAAAGTTCCCTGCAAGCTAAAAATGGAAGCAAGTTATAAAAAAAATATTTCCCAAGGGGTATAATAGTGTTATGCATACAAACATCCTGTTTTTGATTGCGGGAGTTATATGCTTGTGAAGGAGCAGTATTAGGCTAATACAAAATAGAATTTTTAACATATGGGAGATAATATTATGCCTTGGGTTGAATGAGTGACCTGGAAAGGATAATATAAATACCCTCAGTTTGGCATTTTGGGCATCCTCTCCCATTGTTGGTCATTTTTTCAATCTGCAAGGCAGTAATTTTAGTGTATTAACCTCCACTCTAGCCAAGATGTTTTGTACATTGTACATAATACGTAGCTACAACTATATACAATCTTTTTTTAAAGTGCATTTCAAAATATTGTTATGGCTGAGGAAACAATTTCATATTTAAAACCCGTTTTCAGGTCCTGAACTTTCAGAAACAACTGTTACCTTTTGGGTTGAAATTTCTCAAGCTAGACTTAAGTTCAAAGTGGGAGGTTTCTGCAAGGTGCAATCCAACTGGGTTTTTTCCATCCTTGAGTTAGCAGAGTGTGAATAAATAGGTTTGAAAAAAAATTCACACACATTTCTCAGGCACAGATAACTCAAAACAGCTTATATGGAAAACTACAGATCTGTCATGTATCTATGTACTTAGTTCTAAGTGAGGGCAAGCATATTTGGAAAAATATTTTGAAGGAATAACATAATTGTGTTTGAAATCACCTTCTACCTGTGCACAGAATATGGCTTTCTACCAAATATATACATATGTATTCAGGTGTGATACTCTAGATAAATGGGGAATATTTTGGTCAAAATGTTTGTCCCCATTCTTAAACCCACAGTTCACCTGTGAGTGTAAATCTGAGTAGTTACTTTGAACTATCTCGTTGGGGTAACTACTCGTGTTTGTGCCTGCAACACATTTTGTTGGTGAAAGCTCACAGACACATAGGCGAGACCTCCCTCCAACTGAAAATGTGCATGTAACTGAGAACACACTGTTGTTTATTTCACTGATAAGACATACAGGAGTAAAATTTTCAAAATCACTTGGTGCTTCTGAATATTTTACCCAGAGTGAATCCTCAGTAATGTCAACAGTAAAATTCCCATTGATTTAAATGAGGCAAGGATTTGACAGATAGTTTATTTTTGTACACATAATTAAGGATTCTTTTGAACACTCGGCCCAGCGTATGTAACATTTTTAGTGATACTATACATTTACTCTGGTCAATAGAGTTCGACCAGAGGTGAAAATGGTTCAGTGCCTTTATTCACTTCCTTCCCTATAAATATGAAACACATTTGATTCTAATGTTGCCCACTGAAAAAAACATGGAATATGTTCATTTCAGTGAATATAGGTGGGTAGATACACACACAGAGTGAGAAGTTTTCCATTCTTTAGTTAATCTTAATTTACCTCTTCTTCTAGATGAAAATAACAAATCTTGTTGCTTTTGAAGGTATTTTTGTAGTCTTTTATAATTGGCTGCAATATCACGACAAATTATGATTTTACCATCCCAAACAACTACTTGAGGAAGACTGAATAATGCTCACAGAAGAAATCAATGGTTGTATAATTTTTTTTCCTTAGACTTGTCTTAGTGTGAAAACCCATCACCAAAAGTACATCCAAGGGATTTTGAGTTATATGTGTCAGCGAGCTGCCTTATTAAGTGATACATGCCGTCATATACCTGGCATGAAAGGGGTTTGACATTAAGCAAATGAAAAATCCAGAGAAAGCGCCATTTTGGTTAATCCTAACCTAGGCGAGTATTGGGGTGACTCTTTAGAAGAGAGCATGGGTCCTTTGGTTGGATACTTCTTATGCCGGGGAGTTGAAGGGGGCGGGGGACCCACAATCATATCTATCCTGGCAAAGTAAATAAGAAAAAAGACACCAGCAAAATGCATAATGAAGCAACACGTAGAAAAAACTTGGTTGGAAAGTTGCGGAAACATAAGGAACAACTAAAAAAATAAAAAATAAAAGACAGAGAGAGAGAGAGAGAACTGGAAAATATATTCTGCTCGAAACAGAATGCAGCATTATATTGCCTGATCGTTCGTGGTTAATGCCAAATCTTATCTGGCCAAACATAAGATTCATGGAACTGGGCATCAAAAGAACGTCACTGCTGCTTAAAATGGGAGTCACTCTGCATATAATAGGCAACATACTGTACACATTGGAATATATTTGCATATATGTGGCAATGTCCCATTGGAAATGTCAGATATAAGACAATATATATTCTCCTTTCTATTACAGTGATAGATAAAACATCCTCAGCAACGTGTAAATGAGGTACACTGCGGAATTGTACACTCAGTGAATGAAATGCATCCATGGTTGGAAAGGTGTTGGAAAGGGAGGTGAGCCAGGGACAGAATACCAAAAAGAACCAATTACAGACACGTCACAAGAGCAGTGACAGAGAGTTATGAATGATTAAAGAGAAAAGTGCATGTAAAGACCCCCACGAGTTTGCCTGAATAAAGCTTTAACCCAACAAAACACTGGCCACAGAGGGGTAATGTTAAACATCATCACAAACGCTCTCTCTCTCTCAGAGAGACAACGTATTGCCTTGGTCCCTCATTGTTGCAGAGAGTATTAATCTATCATAGCTCTACACCAGTGGCAAATTGCATTGTCCCATTTCCCTGCCCCCCATACCAGCTCCACTGTGCTGATCAGCATGTTGTGGGGCGCACCCAAGTCTCGGCCTCTTCCCCATCCATGTCCTGCTCATTCTCCACCAACCTGTTCTGGGGATGGGGGAGTAGGTGAGAGCACAATGTCCTGCGTGCATGAGATGAAGGTCCAGGTAGCCTACATGGGGCTCTAGGAGAAAGTTTTACTCCTTCCTTCCTTCCCAGGATAGAAGGAAGTATAATCTACATCACAATCTACCCCAATGATTACTGCATCCCACTGCAGGGATGCAACCAAGAGGAGCATTTGGCCTTGTCTTTCAAAACAGCCACTCCCTGTTCCACCCAAAAATCAACCAGCCGAACAACTTTCTTTTTGGAACACACAATCTCAGAACAAGAAAAATGGAGGCAGGACTGGAGAACCTTGCCAGGGACAAGGTTCAGCTGAAGACCCCCAAAAGTATGGGTGCCCATCTAGATCATCCCTAACCTAGACAGACTACTTTACTGTGCACACCTCGGCTGGAAATCTCAAAAGGAGAGATTTTACTCAAGTGATTTCATACTCTTACAGCTAAACCTGGGCTTAAGTGCTTTGCTAGACACAGTGGGTTTGTGATAGAAAGCTCAGTCCTGCTCTGCGAATGACTCTCACAATGACATGACGAATCAAGAATTAACTGGGAATATAGGTAACACACAGTATTCTGGCAACACAAGTATTTTTATGGGGGATATGAGGTAACAGACATTGATTTATCTCCAATTGTGGCTCCATCATTTAGATTTTGAAACTAAAGAACCAAAGACAATGTTCACTGTTTCCTGTCATATGCCTTATCCGTGCAAAGGACCCAATCTAACTCCTTTTGAAGTCAATGGAAAAATTTCCATTGGCTTCAATGGGGGTTGGAGAAAGACCCTTTTAGGCTGTAGAGTAGCATCCACTTGAGCACCCATTTTTCATCTATAAGTTTGCAGAGGCAAATATTTACATGACATTACTTGGTTGTCTCTGCCTGATACATAGGCACAAGCAGTTAGTTAGGCATATAAGTGACATTCACTTTGACTGAAAGTAATTTAAGGTGCAAAGTCATGCCTTGAGTTACATGTACCTACACATTGTAGGCCGCAAAGGGCAGGTTTACTTAATTGACACAATTGAGGGTTATTTGTAAGGAGAGAGGGTAGAGTTCTTACTGTCAATGGCTTTTCTCTCATCCACAGTTCATAGGTTTGAATTCAAACTTTTTCTGAGGTAAAATAATTTGGGCGTTGGAGAGGAAGGGTGGAGTTTAAAGTATCTCTCTCTCTCTCCCTCCTTTTATACTCTTCCTAATGCTTCCTCTTCCATACAGTTTAAACACAAGGAGCTCGATCCTGTCCGGTGTTAGTGCATCCCCTTTATGCACTCCCTCGTCTACAAAACCAACTCAGTACCCTCGGACAGTTATACAGCGGATGCAGTTTAGTTCCTGTTTCACTGAGGCTACCCAGCTGGGCTGATACGTTAAACTCCCATATTTTTAAGACATTCTTCCCGCATTCCCACCCAATCCAAACAGAGGTCAGACTCCTCCCACTTCCCAGGGCAAAAGCTGTAAAATAATTACAAGAGCCTCTCATACTGGGGCCATTTTTCTAAGAGCTCCTTTATTCTTAACAAGAGGGCCAAAAATGGTACTTTCAAGGTAGCTCCTTTATTTTATTTCACTGCTGGAAAGGACACCCGATATGCCACACAGCCCCGCGAATGGCGATGTCAAATCGTAAGTATCCAACAACAAAGCACTGAGACGTATGTTCCAAAATGCTTCTGAAAGATTTACGTACACCCCGGTCTGCTCTTTGACCACATGCTGGGCCACAGTGAGGGAAGTTCTTCACATATTCTCTGTGGGAGGCTGAAATGTGAACAACCAGCTTGTGTGTGTGGAGTGGGATGGGGAAGGAGGGAGGGCAGGATCCTTCAGTAAGGATTCTCTGGTGGTGCCATGGTATGGGAGGTAACACAGGTTAACTGGCACAAGGAGATGGAACAGGGTTTGCTTCTGTTTTATAACAGAGCCTGAGGCTGTTTCTGGAGCCTGTCTAGCACCCTTACCCAGAATGCACAGCTCCCTCCCCTAGACTGGACACTAGAAATAACAGGCACTGTAAAACTAATCTGCCCTCCCGGCACTCTGTGCCAAAAATTCACCCCTTGTGGCCACCTCACAACCAGACGTTATTCAGAAATCCATTGTTTTCCATTAGGCTTTTTCTTAGAAAGAAAAATAGGATGTGGCTGTTTAAAGAAAGGACTTTATCTTAACCCTCTCACTCCTATCATCCACCACTGGGGTGCTATCACAACCAACAGTGGAGTCTCTTGCCTGGACTGGAGATTTTTAATCCGGGAGAGCATGTCCAAGTGACCGGCTGAATACTGCTCGATGACATCCATCACATCGTAAGGCCGAAGGCTCTCCTTGAACTTCCGTTTGGAAACAAGGAATTTCATGATGCTAGGGGAGAGAGAAAGGAAAAAGTGGATCCCCATGCTGGAGCCGTGTGCCGTAGAGTGATAGGCATGCCAATGCTGCAGAGAGCTACTTGGGAGTCAGAGCGGAACAAGACGTTTGAAAAGCTAACACAGTCTGAGGCTACTTTAGATAAAGCAGAGAGAACCAAAGCTCAAGATGTAGGGCTTCGTACACTTCCAGGGCTGCTGGTCTCACTAGCCAACTTGGTGGAAAGTCTTCCAGGTAGGGGAGGAGCCTCAGTAATGCGCAGCATCCACAACCCCCAGCTTGCCCCACTGGAGATCTTGGGGGCAGATTGGACCAACCCAGCTGACCAGGGATAGGGTTCGATCGGGGCACACAGAGAAGGTGCTGATTCAGTGCCTCTCCTAGGATGCCACAGCAATTTAAAGCTGCAGAAGCCCCATAGTAGCAGTCAACCCTCCCAGCCCAGAGGTGTGCCAATGGCAATCCCCAATGCCTCAAAGGTGTCAATGCTATCTGTGGGTTAAGGTATCTAGGATGGGGAAAGGGCCAGCATTTTCTTGAGGCTCTGTGCTTGCTTTAATATCCTCCTTATGCCTTTCATGCTGATGCCAGCAGGAAGCACAGATCCAGCCCCCCCAAAAGTTAATAATTGGACAATATTCTCTGGTGGGTGTGTATTTTTTCCTGCTTATTCTTCAATCCTCATGCTGGGCAGCAATGCATTTAGTGGGGGGGGGAAACGGCATCTATATATCCCTGCCTCACCGAGGATTGAAGCCCAACTCCCCAACACAGCAAAGGGCCCACTCATAATCCAAGCAGTACAGAAGGGCAAAGCCCTTGGTATTTGCATGGTGCACGTTAGGTGGGGGTTCCCATTATCTGAATACTGTCTGGATCTCAGATATGAGCCGAATAAGAATATAATAGGCCACCCCTTAGCCACAGAACTTTCCTCTCCTAACAACAAGCCCTGTGCTTCTCTTTCTCCGCTTACCTTTAGCCATTTTCTGAGGAGAGACTGATTTTTCAACCCCTCCCAGAAAATTCTGAGGGAAAATGGCTCCTCCTTTAAGGCAATGGAGAGGAGTGGGACAGACAGCTACTAGGTTTCTATCAGTAAATGGCTGAAAGTAATGGAGCAACCTGGGCCTGTGTGGGGTGGGAGTGGCAGGGGCCTCTGGGAAAGGAAGGGAATGGCTATCCCCTCCTGACCTGGATTGCTTTCCTCAGCCTCTGATGGAAGCCTCCTGTAAAGACATGATATAGTGACAAAGGGTGCCAGATGGTTAGGACATGAGCTCCAGTGGTTCCCAGTGGCTCAGAAAAAAACTTCCTGAGCTGGAGGGCATGTATTATACTGGGTGATCTTGTCTGAGTGTGCATGCCTACTCCACTGATCTCTAGGTGCCAGACGACTAGAGGCTATAAATCTTAATATTGTTATTACTATAGCTAATAGAGATTATCATTTAAGTGAGTCAGAGGAGCCCATGGTTTTGAAGCCCAGGGGCCTGTGTCCCCTCCCCAGATCTGCACGTGTGCGTTGTAGATGATGACTCTTATGTCTAGATCTGTGCACCTATGGATTTGTTACAATGGCCCATTTGCAACATGGTGGGTGAATTCCAATGTTTTCACTTCTTGAACCTTGCCACTCTCGAGGTGCCCCCAAGCCGCTGTTCTAAAGCTACTCCCACAGTCCTTGCAACAAGAGGAGGCTGGGTCTAAGAATAAGACCTGGATCCTCTAGGTAGCAATTCTATTTGCTAGGGCTTAGGTCACCGGATAGACATCTTGACTGAACAACACAGGAGAGGAGTGGAGATGAACACTGGTTCTAGCACCCATGCCCCAAACAATAAGTTTGGCTCTGGATCCAGAGCTGTATCTGAATCCTCCAGCTCTATGAGGAGGAGGAATACCAGTGCTAGACACTGCCAGATTTTGGGGATGTTCAGCCTAGGATCCAAATCCAAAGTGTGTGGCTTATAGAGAGGGGTAGGCCAGCTGGACCCACCAATGTAAGTGGGGAAGAAGTGGGAATTTAAATAAGCATTTTGTGTCCATACTTCTGGCAGCTAAAAAGGACATCATAGTCCCAGCGCCCTTCGGTCCGTCAGACTTGTGTGTCCTCTCTCCATCCGGTTTTGTAAATGTCAGCATTTAACCACGAAGCGAGCGATATGATTTGGATGTAACACTGTTAGGGCGTTTCCCCATTTTTCCCTTTACTCCTCCTCCAAGCAAAAACTGTTTTCCCCGCTTAGCTTTATACAAAGGAAAACAGAGCACCTGGGGGGGATCCAGCCAGCAGCAATGGGATTTGTGCATTATTCAATGCTGCTTGGTTTACAAATACCCTTATTATTTATTTTCCTTTAACATTTCCCCAAGTAGGGAGGTCTCTCCATCCTCCTTCCTCCCCCTCCTCCTTTTCCTTTCTTACCACACTGCCCTGATGCTGACTTTAAGTCCTGGCGTTAAATCTTCCGTCACAAACTCGCAGTTGCAGCTTTTGTTATCATCGGGAATGTCTTCTCCAGGGAGGCTTGCTTCTGGGTTTAAAAGAAAGAAAGAAAAAGAGAATCCACAGCTAATTAGAGCATCATTGCAGCAGGAGGAATGGGAGCGTCAGACTCCAGAAGTGAGCACATGGAAGACATAAATGGCATGTTACCTTTGCATCTTAACAAAAGCTTTCTCTCCCTCTGAGCTAGGCTATGATGACATCTGATACCACCAGTTTCAGTCCCTATCTGTCTTTAAGGGCATCACATAACTGAATGGAGCTCTCCTCTTTCCTCTCCCACCCTAGCATCTTCATATGGATAAAACAATACCTTATGACGTGCTAATAAGGGAGAGAACGAAACAGATCAGTAAGTCTAGATGGTTCAAATCCCCTTCACCTCCTCCAAACCAGCTGAGCCAGTAAGGATTCTGTTTAAATGAACTGCCTATTATCAAAATCTTCAAGTAAGAGTAAGAATCACTGGGTATAGAATAAGAATCACTGGATATAGATTCTCCAACTTCCCCTGTTACTGGGTAATCAGTATCTGATCCCTTTCGTGGTGGGCACATAGATGGTTGGAGACAAAGAGATATGCACAGAATATCCAAAGACAACTCTTGATCAAATTATTCTGAGAAGCTTAAATATCTAAATCAGAAGGTAAATAATTTAAGGATCAAAACCCCAATATTTCCTATGTGAAGCTGAATGCCTTATACTGTACCAAGTAATGGAGACATCCTTATTGACTATCTGCTGGATTCACACCTGCCAGCAAAATTCCTGTTGTGGCAGCACCATGCAGATCTTCCATCCAAGCGCTGACCCAGCCTGACCCCACTTAGCTTGGGAGGAAACCAACAGGATGGCAGTCCATGGGGACAAGGCAAAATGGCTGCCCTCAGAAGCTCTCACCTTCAGAGTTCTGTCGAGACGCAGCTCCCTTGATCCGGAATGCTTGCCGGGCTCGGCTCCGGTCTCCAAAGCTCCAGCTTTTGGGCACTTTGCTCGGGCTATCTTCAATGCTCTGATCAGCGCTGGGGGATCTCCGGAGGCTCTGAGCCTGTGGAGAGCTTTTCCCTTTAGTTCCAGACCCTCGGGGACTGGAGAAGACACGGTCTTTCAAGCTGACCTTCTGACTATTCATGGGAACAAATTGAAACAAAGACAAAAAGGAGACAGCGGGGGGAGTCACTCTGGAAACCGCACGTCCCTTCCCCTTCAGTCCTTAGAAACCCACGGCATTACAAAGCAGCAGTGAGATGTGTCCAGTTTTTATTTTTTTAGAGCATTTCAGAATGGTTTCCATCATCGTGAATGAAATGCGAGGGATCGTTAATTAGGAAAAAAGAATGGAAGTTTAAACAGAAACCCCTCCTATTATTAGAGGGCTTGCTGAACAGAATGGCATGAAACAATGATGTCGATGGTTCCTTACATCATTTATTGGTTCCTAGCATGAGTTATGATGCTTTTTTCCACAGTTTCCATCAAAAATCCTTTTTCGATAAGAAAATATTAACAAAAGTTTACCAAAAATGTTTCAAAGTAAAGTTAAAAAGCTATTTATGCCTTTTCAGGCCAGTCACCTGTCTCTTTTCCCCTTCCGATCACGCCATCTTTTCTACCGACTGAAAAAGTTCTCAACCCCTTTTCTATCCTCAGGTTAAAATAAAAATCTTTTTCTGTACACGTAATGAATGTTAACAACACAGTTGTGAATTAAAAACCTAATAAGGATTTGAGGTTAAAAAGCACTTGCATATTTACTAGGGCTGCTCAAATACTTGCAGCGAAATTGGAATACTTCAAAATCTGAGATGTTTGCATTTAATTGCAATTTCTTTAAAATGATCCAATTTTATTGCAAAATATTCTGTTTTTTGCTTGAAAACCATCCTGTTTTTGGAGTAAAGATGATCCCCGTTGATAAACAGTCTTATTGTGGAGCCAAACCTCTCTATTTTCAAATTTCTGAATTCTGAAATTTCAAATGAAGATGATGAATTTTCACATGAAACTTGCAAAAAATGATTTTGTGAAACTTTATGAAAGGGGCAAAACTTGATAATTGCAACATTCCCAGGAACAAAACTGAAAATATTTTTAGTTTTGTGTAGACCTAATATTTGCCAAATACCAACTGATTATTAACAGAAGATATTTATTGAGAATAGATAACTACTACAAAGCACTTCCTCATTTATCCAATATTTTATATGCATATAAATTCAAGCCTGAGTAAAGTTCAGACGTAATTTCCAAGTGGTTTCTACCACAATAACAGTTAACATTCTGCACTGGAACATCTTACAAATTCAGCAGCAGAGGTGCACATGAACTGATTGAATCAAGGCGCTGATTATGCTTAGGAAAGTGACTCAGAGAGAAGGGTATTGTGGGAACTTATCCTATCTCAATGACTTCTAGGTCAAACTTGCTTAGTTAAAGTAGCAAAGATTTATTTTTTCTAGCTGTCAGTGCCGCCACCTCAGATCTAAGAAATAAGCTGCCTCTTATTTCATCGTTAATAATAAAGATTCTGCAGTTACAATATAGCTGTGGATATGTGAGACAGCTTTATCGGCTGCGCTGCGCTGCCAGGAGTGAGCATTTGGTTTTGTCACTAAAGGAACCAGACACGCAGGGAGCAGATCCGTTGTACTATTTTTACATAGTCGCTTTATATTGTGAAACCTCATTGTACAGACTGATCCAAATGCTTAACTAGAACTCTAATTCTAAGAGCAAACACAGGTGCCCTAAATTAGAGACACAATGAGGCTACTTTTTAAATCTGATCCTAAATGAAGGGTGTTCTTGTAGCCTATTCATTTGTAAGGCTCATTTGTGTTGCATGTACAGTTCGAATTTCTTTATTCGACAAGGTCTGTTTAAATATTTTATCTGCCAAAGTCTGCCAAAAGCTAAAATCCAGAATTCAATCCTATCTCTTAGCGCTTCATCCTGAGAAGTGCTGCATGCCTGAATTGGTTTTCTTGAGAATTGTGCATGCTCAGCATGTAAAGATTGTTTATCCCTAAGAACGGCCATACTGGGTCAGATCAAAGGTCCATCTAGCCCAATATCCTATCTTCCGACAGTGACCAATGGCAGGTGCCTCAGAGGGAATGAACAGAACAGGTAATCATCAAGTGATCCATCCCCTGTAGCCCATTCCCAGCTTCTGGCAAACAGAGGCTAGGGAAACCATCCCTGCCCATGCTGGTTAATAGCCATTGATGGACCTATCCTCCATGAACTTATCCGGTTCTTTTTTGAACCCTGTTATAGACTTAGCCTTCACAACATCCTCTGGCAAGGAGTTCCACAGTTTGACTGTGTGTTGTGTGAAAAGATACTTTCCTTTGTTTGTTTTAAACCTGCTGCCTATTAATTTCATTTGGTGACCCCTAGTTCTTGTGTTATGAGAAGGAGTAAATAACATTTCCTTATTTACTTTCTCCACACCAGTCATGATTTTATAGACCTCTATCATGTCCCCCCTTAGTCATCTCTTTTCCAAGCTGAAAATTCCCAGTCTTATTAATTTCTCCTCAGAGGGAAGCTGTTCCATACCCCTAATCATTTTTGTTGCCCTTTTCTGAACCTTTTCCAATTCCAATGTATCTTTTTTGAGATGGCACAACCACATCTGCATGCAATATTCAAGATGTGTGCGTATCATGTATTTATATAGAGGCAATATGATATTTTCCGTCTTATTTCTATCCTTTTCTTAATGATGCCCAACATTCTGTTTGCTTTTTTGACTGCCGCTGCACATTGAGTGGATGTTTTCAGAGAACTATCCACAATGATTCCAAGATCTCTTTCTTGTGTGGTAACAGTTAATTTAGACCCCATCACTTTATATGTAAAGTTGGGATTATGTTTTCCAATGTGCATTACTTTGCATTTATCAACATTGAATTTCATCTGCCATTTTGTTGCCCAGTCGCCCTGTTTTGTGAGATCCTTTTATAGCTCTTCGCAGTCTGCCTGGGACTTAATTATCCATCACTGAATAAAACTGGGCCCTTATTCTGGTTGCCCCAATCCCATTTCCCAAGTAAATATGTTGCAAAAGATTCCATGAACTAAGGATGGCAAATCAAAAAGTACTGAATTTCCTACAGAGCATGAGAGAGAGGAATTTCATATTAGGACATCACAAGGTGCAATATGTTACTCATTAAAAATATCACTTATGAATCTGAGGAACATTTAAATCCATTCAGGTCTGATCCCTGAGTACTCAAACTCTCGACATTTGGAATGCCTCCAACATTCCTTTGTTTTAAACAAACGAACAAACAAACAAACATTAACAATAAAGACAACATTGGTAATCCATTACAATTTTCCTTCTGCCATGCAATTTTTTCAATGTAAAAGCTGACTAGAATCTGCATGCAGACACAGGCCCTGCAGTGGAAAATGCAGTTGAGAGGCGGCCGGAGCTGGGGAGGGAAGAATGCAAAAGAAAAGCAAATGCTTTCAGCTAATCTAAGATCATGTCCTCATCCAAGCAGAACGTCATGCAAGGTGAGGTGCAGTGTGTCAGAGAAGTGATACTTAGATGCCAACCACGCAGATGGTAGATGGACATTATTTGGTAGTACAGTATGTGCGTTGAGTGGAAGGGGGAGGGAATGTTATCCTGACACACACAACTGCAAGAAAGGAGGCTTGTATCTCTGACACTTGCATGAACTGAGGGAGAATGGGACATTCGTTCTGCCTGTTCTAAGGGGAAGGGAGGATAAAGCGAATCACAAGGTTTTGTAACCTGTACCAAAATCTATGGGAATTAATAATAAAATCAGATGGTCTGGTTGGTTCCTGTATCAAAATGAGGTAGCTACTCTTGGTTATTATTTGTTTAAAACCCATTTTTTTTATTATTAAAAAAAGAATCCTACAGCATTACTGCACGGACTTAAATGAGAATTTGCTCAGCGTTTAACCTGAATCCAGTGAAGGGTGGAAATGTATAATTTACCTTTTTTCTGCTACTGAAATGTGCTTTTACTTTCTAAGGCAGGTTCCTAGCAAACATCTACTCCAATAAATGGAAGTTCATACTTCACTAGCGCACTTAGGGGCCCAATCCAAATTCCAGTGAAGTTAATGGAAAGACTCCCACTGACTTCAGCGGGCTTTGGATTGGGACCGTCTGGCATGTGATGGTTACAACATTCACCAGAAAAGTGGTTAAGAACTAACCCTCTGTGTACATACACAACACAGAACAGCTGGTTGACACACAATGTGTTTATGGATATTGATGGTTTAAGTTCTTGTTGGAAATCTCCTGGGTTTTGTGGGTTCATTTCATAGCCTTAGCAATCTCCTGATGTTCTGTTTTTGCATTCCCTTACTCATTCCTGATTCACAGTAATTTTGGATCAATAAAAATGACTACCTACTGGTTTTTGTCAAGTATTTGAAATTACACTCGTCCAGCTGCTTCATTTTCTCCTTTTGCCTGCATATAGCAAAATACTAGCCAAACTGATCAATACCATCCAGTATGCAGTGTTGTTGTAGCCATGTTGGTCCCAGGATATTAGAGAGACAAGATGGGTGAGGTGATATCTTTTATTGGACTAAATTCTGGTTGGTTAGAGAAACAAGAAGTTGGTCCAATAAAAGAAAGCTCACCTGCCTTGCCTCTCCAATACCATCCTGGACTAAATAGTCATTTATATACGAACACAGCTGGCAATAATATTTGTTCTACTGAACAGTATATCCAGGAGAGGGAGGGAGAGAGAGAGCGAGGAAGATTATGTCCTGCTGGAAATGGGGCTGTTGTTCAATCCACAGTTTGTGCCGAGTTCACGGCCTGTCAGACCAGTTTGTTAAAGGTAGGCAGAACTGCTGAGATTGAAATAATAGCCATGGTTGACCACCAGGTTTCTGGTGTGAATAACGGGTGGAAGCCAACTGCTGAAAAGATCAAGGAAAGAAGATGTGGGTACACAATGCTTGCCCTGGCTGGCTTAGAATTCAAAAGAGGACAAAAATTCATGCCTGGAGTATCTCCACTGGCTTCCACAGAGTTAAAGCAGGGGTGAATATAGCCCAGGGAACAGAGGAGAAAGCAGGGCTCACAGAGTAAAAATTCGAAGTAGAATGTGGTAGGAAATCACCCTTTCCCCTGCTATAACCTGAGCGGGCAGCAATGCTCATACCGGGGTGACTATCTTCATATCTACAGCGCTGAGTTTGAAATAACTGAAAATGCTTGAGCTGCAATGGTGCCTGAGGCCCAAATATTTGAAAGTATTTAGGCATTGCTGCGCTCAGTGCCAGAAGGCCTCACTGATTTAGGAGCCTAGATCTCATTTTCAAAAGGGATTTAGGCACTTAGGAGCTAAAATCCCACTGAGAGTCACTACAATGCTACCTACGCCCTTGAGACCAGACAGAGCAGGGAAGCCAGAGAAGAAACACTCTAGAAATGCATCTGGCTCTTGTAGTGAATCAGGAAACCTATTTAACCCTGTGGTTAGGTATTTTTAAAATACTGCTGACTTTTTCCGCTGTTCTCCACCTCGGCAGTTTCTAGCACACAGCTTTTGTCCCCTGTGTTTTTTTTGGCAGCTAGAACTAGTATTATGGGAGAACATTCTAGAATGCACTATTGCATGACTGAGAATCTTCTAGAAAGTCCTGACACCATCTGCTCTTCGCCAGTTAAGCCAGGTTTGTGCCTGTTTTGCATTGCTGGAACAGTGCTAAGCCTGCAGAGCACATCAGCAAATCTCACCTATTCTTTATCCAACCAGAATCACCTAAACTACTGTATAGAAAAATCCTACATTCCATTTCAGGCATCCCCCCATGCTACCCCATTGTTCTGCAAACACCCCTTGTCCATTATCAGTCCACACATCATTTCCTCCTATGATTGGTAAGAACATCTTTCTTGCTCCACTCTGTCAGGGTAGACTCCAAATACGTCTTCCCCTTCTACAAAACAAAATATGGCATCAATGATTGATGCAAATAATAAAAAAAGATCTAGCTATACCAAAGACCAAGATTCCTTTATGGCTCTAAGTCCCCAATTCTTGGAGACTTCCTCTTGAGATCTTGTATAGATTTGGAAAGATCCTCGGTTAATGAATTGGTTCCTTTCCTCCTCCAGCAGAAGTCAAGAAGGGGGAAATAAAAGAAAAAGCCGAGTGGGAAGGAAGGAGTTAGATTTCTTCTAAAGAAAGCAAGGGTGAACAGTGATTTATACTGCCTTTGCATATAAGAAAGTATCCATCGCTAGGAAGTCATACAAATTCACTTGGCCACTGACACCAATGTCAGAAGACAAACAAGTGAAGATCAGAGTTTCCAGTTTTCCAGGAGGTGGTATTGTCTAATGACAGGCGAGAAAGAAGTTGTTATTAATATTATTAATATGTGCCAAAAAGAGCCCTAAAATTAAACAGCTGACACCATCAATGCGCAGGAGGGAGGCGCTTTCACCAGCTAGAAGCATACACCTCCAAGGATAGAAAAGTCTGCACTGGTAGATGGGAACATTGAAGATAAGATAAAATTTAAATGTTCTGAATGAAGAAATATATTAATAATATCTCTAATTTGAAGCAGACTTTTTGTGAGCTATTTAAGTAATCTCTATGTAACTCACCATGCGCCAATGATATTTAAGTCAGACATTCCTAATATAAACTCCAGGGGGGCCATAGCATGGCCAGAATATACAGCGGGAGACCATATGAAGATTCTGGCTATTCGTTTAGCTACAGAAGTATCTCACTATGGAGAACTGGTTTCTGTGAACCTTCCCCTTTGTCACCCATTCAGACATCGGATTTACCTCTGATTCTGAACTTTTGGTATATAAAAATATTCCCAGATAAACTAGAAGCTATCCATTCATGGCAGGTATATATATTTATATATATAAAAAAACAATAGCAATAAAGGAAAAAAATATACAGGGCGGAATAATTCATTGAGAAAACCAGAGAGATTTCTTTAAAACTCTACTTTAGCTGCTTTCTAACAAAGAGACAAGGACTCGTGATTTTGAGGATTAAAATGGATTCCAAAAAGAGCATGCATAAATCCCATGTCACAATCATGCTGCATCACTCAGCTCCCTGCTGCCCCTGTGCTGGTGATCCTGCACTCATTGCAAGAAATAAATGGGAGTTCACTGTCACTATTCAAAGCATGCAAATGCTGGGGATTAGTTGTTCAACCACAAGGCGCTTGTTGGCTGCCTATAAATTCAGTGTTGGGGAAGGGGGGCAGTTGAATCTAATGTGAGCAGGAGAATAATGGACATATTTATATGTCAAGAAAAGAAAAAGGACACTGGAAATTCCTTATGATCCTCAGACAAGTGTGTCAAGGAACACAAGTTTGGGAGAAGTCTTTGAAGATGGTTTGCAGTCAAGTTGTCAACTTGATAAAAGACACTGCATGTATCAGACTCTAAAGTCTATCTATTTATTCCCCACTCGACCTTTATGCAGGATCACTTTTAATGCAAATAGGAGATATGCCCACAATAGGAGAGACAATATATCCCCTATGTCGATTACAATAGGTTGAAGATTAGTCCTTCTCTAGCTGCGTAGTAGAGGTGCTAGATAGGCAAGCCATGCTTCCAAATGCCACAAGATTGGGAAAGGCCCATTCATAGGGATTCAGAGAGCCAAAGGAACAATGTTTAGTGGAGGTGGAGAGCAGGTGATTTTTCTGTTACTAAATTTGTATTGTTTTATAATATACAATTAACTGTGCAAGGGTTCCCTGTAGCTTAGGGTAGGGTAGAGAGATGATGAAAGGTTGTTTTTTTTTTATGTTCTATTTTCCATCATTGTTTTAAGCTCAGTTCTTGGCCTCCTTCATCGCTACCAGTCTCTGGCTTGCTAGCCCATATCCAGTGTCAGCATTACACATTTCCCCAGCTTCTGTTGATTCTTGTGCACCGCATTATTGGAAAACAAGAAAGCCTCTGATTTCGGAGAAGGACATGGGGAGGCTCTTCAATTTGTTTTACTCATCTAGTACCTCTATTAAGCAGGGAAGTGATCAGAACGGGTGGTAGCAGGGTAGAGAGAGAATGAGCCGTGCAGCTTTAGATTAGTTCCGTGCGACGCATTTCCCGTGGTACCTAGAGTTTCCTGAGCAGCATCCACATAGTGACTCTCTGCATGGTTTGCTTTTACTGGAAATGAGGGGAGAGTAAAGATTAGACCCGGAAGCAAATGCCAAACAGGAAACTTTGATTATCGTTTCTAGGTTTAAAAGACAGGCTGTTTTGATGGCTGCGTTTGTGACGGGATATTAATATCTGACCATTTAATAAAAAAAGGGGGTTTATTTGTTGCAGTGAGATTCATGAAAGGAATTGCTCTGTAGTAAATTAGGAATGACCCGCTATTAGGAATGACCCCTTCTGCACTCAGTTGGTTGCATTACTTCACCAACTGTTGACTTTACTGAAAAAATGAGTCCGGCAGGTAGATCCTACCACCTGCTTGGAAAAAAAGTAGTCCCTCCTTAATTTCTTGTAAATAAATTTAATCGCTGATTTTTCAGTTCTCTGAGCATGTGGAGTCCACGTTAATGTCCTAGGATAAAAACTGTTTCCTCCAAAGCCATTCAAAGGGTTTATTTCTCTTCTTCCAAGTATTAGTTATTAATGATTTGCTCCTTCTCTGCTTGCCACAGTGCTATGTGAAATTAGGTGTTAAAAACCCACACCAGTGGAATGTGGCAAATCCCCCCACGCTAAGGAACTGGAATTTCAAAATTCACAAAATCCATTTTTCGTGTCACTTGCAAATCAGGACCAAAAAAGTGTGTGTGTGGGGGGGGGGGGGAGGCAGTTATGGGCTTGTTAATGAATCAATAAAGTTCCCATGAATCTGAGCCGAATCACCCTCTTTTCTGTGCTCAGGGACTCGCATACTGTTAGCCATTCACCAAGATAGGGTTCCCTTGATACGGAGCTGTCTTCTCTCTGCAAAAAGGTTACGGGGTAGCCCACTGACATAACCTGAAAATGCTTCAGACAGCTGTGCTCAAGTATTACTAGACGACTTTGCAAATATATTTAAATTTCAGAAGGGGGGGAACCCTATTTGGCTTTCCCCCCATTTTCTTAAATTTGAACTTGGCAGCCTGAGGAGCTCGTGTTTAGTAACAGAAGGAATTTGCAAAATTCTTTCTGCTCTGTAGCAGCCAGGGCAAGTTCAAATGGAATCCACCCTCTCTTTCTTTAGGACTCCGAAGGCCTCTGCAACAAGTTCAGTGCAGACAGACCCTGCACCCACATAGAGCCCAAGTGACAGGTTAGCTGCCTGGATAGCCATACCGCTGGGCTCTGTAGATAACATCATAGACAGAGAATATTCAGCATGCACAGATTTGGAGAGACAAACTGGTTACTTGGTTTCTTAATCTCCTTTTCAGTCTCTAAAGAAAGTAGCAGTCCCTTATTTTCAAATAATCAGTCCCCAGGATGGCAACTGATTATTCCCAGATTACACACAGTCACAGCATGAATATCTGACACCAGTTTTAATAACAATATCAGTCTAATATTATATATAGACATACACACACACACATATTTTTTAAAATAAATATATTGCAGAGGGACCCAATCCTGCACCCATTCAAGTTAATGGTAAAAATCCCTCTGATTTCAATGGAAGTGAGATGGGGAACCACAGTCTACAGCTTGAAGATGACCTTTTAAACTGGTTGCTAGGGTTATTTACACAATCTCAGGTGACCCTAACTCATGCTGGAGCATGTAATCTGCTTCTTCTAACTCTACAGTTCCCTAGAATTCTCCTGTTTCTTTGCACTCTGATATATTTTTTCAGTTTGCCTGATCCTGTCCTGAAAAATACAAAAGGAAGGGCATAAATCTCATCACAGATGCCTATAGATGTTCAACAAACCATTTTTAAAGAACATCTGACATATATTTCACATAGAAATCTCCACAGCCCTAGCTAAGCCAGACATGTGCCCCTTAATACTTTGGTCAGAAGACAAAATAAGCAGAGACAACTTGCCACACTGAATTTTCAGCCTGGTTAGTACATAAATAATCACATCCTATTACCCTATCTGAATGGTAAGCCTTGATTAGTAGGAGTAGTGAGAAAAGTCACACCACATCCCTTCTGCTTCCCCTGAGGCTATCAGACAGGGCAGCCAGCCGGCCAGACATACTTTCATCTCCTCCATTTTAGAGGAAGTGATCATAGCTAGCTACCCTGTATAGGTGACCCATCAGGACGTGCAGAGCGCTGCTTCCCCACCCCTGTCATAAGCCAATTGCGATGCAGATGGACAGACAGCACCCAAAGCACTTTGCAACACAGCAGACTTTATGAGGAGTTAAAAAAAAAATGTAGCCAAATACCAACATGGTTTGTGTCCATCACAACCTGCACTGCAGGTCACAGAGACATGAGCTTATGTTTCTTAATAGCTGATCAGCAAACAACTTCACAGAGCTTGGTCACGGGATGAATGCAGACAAGTTTGAGTGTAAAACAAAACAGAGAAATGGCAAAGACAAAACCCATCTCCAAGCTGCGATGCCTAATTCAAATCCAAGGCAAAATAAACTACCTCCCTTGGTAATTAAAAAAAAGATACTAGAGTGCTATACAGTAATAGGATAACCCCAAATAGTGTAATGGCGTTATGTGTAAAGGGGCATTGACTGTCAGTTCTGTACAGCCCCTAGCATACTGGGGCTTTGATGCATGATTGGAGCCCTTATACCATAATACAAATAATAAATTAATAATTGAACCCCTGTGGGCTTCAGGGCACTGCATATGAAGTTAGGGATGTGGTCCTGCAGAGTATATACTGGCTTCTATGAGACCTTCTGGTGCTACTCAATGTAAGAGTATTGGGGTCTGTTCTGAAAGGGTCCGGACGTCTATCTGAGTGGAACGAGTTTCTTTATGGGCACTGAGAAGGCTGGCAATTTCAGCCCTCACACGGGAAGATGTGCTGATCTTTGGCAAGTGCCTTCATCAGTTCTGCAGCAGTGTCAGAGTAATGGGGTGGAAGGGAGGATTATAGCTCCAGCAAAATATTGGGGGAAAGGTTTGGCTGCGCTAAGGAGGCTGTTGAGAACGATATGGAAAATATTTTAATGCTATTATAAAAGCCAACAGCACATCCTGTAGCCACTGTCCTAGAAGAGCAACAAAAGTGATTAGAAGCATGAGGGGACTATTATAAGGACTAAGAAAACTTAGTTTGGAAAGGAGACAGGTGAGGAAGTTATAGAGAATAATGAATAGGAAAGAAAAGGCCAGTCATGCCACTCCGATTTACCCTCTCCCCTAACATAAAAACAAAAGGATGCTGGATACAATTAAAAGGGAAAAAATTAAAACCACTAAAAATTTTATTTTAACACGTGTATTAACCTGTGGAGCTTATTGCTGCAGGATGTTAGTGAGATTAAAAGAAAAATGCTTCTCTGATTGAGGATAGCATCTGCAGTTACAGTTACACAGGCTAATATAAAATCACAAAGGGCTATCAATCCTCAGACTTCAGGGTCTGAACAGAACCTTGGCTGAGACCAAGTAGAGATTCTTCCACATGGCCCAATTAGGTGCAGTCTGGGGATTTTAATTTTTCCTCTGAAGCATACAGCATATGCCACTGGCAGAGACAGGATACCAGATTAGCCAGATTCTTGGGCTGACATCCTGGCTCCACTCGACTCATTGGCACTGGGGCCAAGATTTCATGCTTGGTCTCTTCCAGGAAAGCACTCCTGTGTTGTTTTCATTGCTGATGATCAGGGGCGGCTCTAGCTTTTTTGCCGCCCCAAGCACGGCAGGCAGGCCACTTTCGGGAGCTTGCCTGCGGGAGGTCCCCGGTCCCGCGGATTCGGCGTACCCGCCACCAAATTGCCGCCGAATCCGCGGGACCGGCGGACCTCCCGCAGGCATGCCGCTGAAGGCTGCCTGACTTGCCGCCCCAGGCACGCGCTTGGAGCACTGGTGCCTGGAGCCGCCGCTGCTGATGATATTTGAAGTGGACTGGAGGACGGGAGGTTACATTCCTTCTCACTGCACAAGGTTAGGCCTCGAAGCAGGAGGAAGTAAGGTCTGAACTGTGAAAACGTGACGTTGGTGATTAGATTTATTTGGCAGCTTGTGGATGGCGCACTTTGGAGATCCTACATGCACAGAAAAGCTCAGATGAGTGACAGGAAGGAGATAAAGTGGAAATAACAGTAAAGCTGGGCACTTAATCCTCTTAGCTGGCACCTTATCTACTTAAATATCCTTTACTGGATTTTGTGCCAGGGAAAAGTTAACTTGTTTCTAGCCCCTTAGATTGAAAGGTGCAGCAGACTTTTACAGCCAATACAGGAACACCATCCTTAGACAGTTCTGGGTGTCTAACAACTGTCTTGCTATATTTATAATGTTCATGACCTGCAAGAAGTGTTTAGATCCCACAGTATTTCCTTCTTAACATATTTAGGTCACAAACTAAGTTGGGTGGGGTGGAGGGTTAAAAACATTCCGTTTGAAATTCAACCTGAAAATACTTCCAAGTAGAACTGGTAGGATACGAAAATGCAATTAACTAGGCTGAGCTGGATGGAAAGTGAGGAGCATTTGTCTCCAAAATTGTCATCAGCATTTCCCCCTCGCCCGTTTTTCACTGGAAAATCTGTTTAAGCTACAACTTTCCAGCAGCTCTAGTTGACCGCTAGCATGCAAAAACATCGGTCGCATACATTATTCAGTGAGCTCTAAGGCAGAGAGATCTGTGATCCAATGAGGCGTACCTTACTTTAGGTGATTCCTCAGTTCCAGTACCTGCTGCCAATCATGCTAATGGCATCCTCTGTATCTTGCAGTGATGGTTTGAAACAGGTATAAAATATTATGCCCGTGCTCTTTAATTATATTGGGCCAAATCTTGAAGCTTTCTTTATTCATGCAAAACTCCACCTGAAGTCAGTGAGTAAAGACTATGGGATTGAGTCCATAGAGTATAATCAGTTATTGCACAATGGGTTCTGGCAAGAAGGGGTAGCAGGGGAGTGCTGGGAGGTATTTGGAGCTGTTGATGTACAAAGCGATTGCACGGCATGGAGGGCCAGTGGACATAGGCAATGCTACATTTCTCCTAACTCCATGGCCTGGGAGAGTTCTGAGGGTGTTTGGCTGAACATGCTTTGGTTTTTTGGTACAGGGACTGAAAGAAAGGCAGAGCCAGGGTTGGGTTCAGTCATGGGACATGCGGTGGCAGGGGAACAGAACATGAAGTGTTAAAATTGGGTCTGCGTTGTTATTTCAGCTCCCGGATTCTGGAAACAGGCGGAGGAAAGAGAGGCATGAAACAGTCCCCTTTTCCCATGTATCCTGGACACTCATTTGCCAAAAACTCAGAAGACATCAGCCTGTGACAATACATTTCTGAGGGCAAATTTGACACACCTCAAACTTCATCTGCTGCCAGCACAACCCCCATAAACACTATCCATATAGCTACAAAATATAGTCAAGGTATAATGCAAAGAAGGAAAATCTGATTTAAGGCCCAGCATTACATATATGGATGACACACAGAGACATGTCCCACAGCACAGAACAAGCACGTACAACCCGCTATGCTGGTTTTAATGGCGCTCAGCTCCTTGTTGGTACAGGCATACATAGTGCGCGCACTCTCACGTACATGGAAAGCATGGAAATGGTATGTGGCAGTGATACAGACCTGGGTGATGGCTCAGGCTGCTGCTCCTTCCTTTAAACAGAAGCAATAGTACATTATCAGTGGTGTCAGGTGGGAAGGATGCTGCTGCATTCACTGTTAAAACATAACGAAAGGACAGTACCAAACAGTACAACTAAGTGAGGTGGATAGAAGGAAGGGCATGGAGCACTTACTCCTGGGGCTTCCAGACTGGAGAGAAGATAGCCGCAGACTCACACCACCTTGGGAGGAGACACACAAGACGTACAGGGTCGAAAAGTCACAAAACCCACCTCTTTGTGCACAGAGTTTACTATGGAGCCCCGCGGTTACACCACTCGCATGAGCAAATGCGGGGCAGTGAATGGTCATGCTCCTTTGAAAATTTGGCCCCCTGAGTTTGTTTCTGAACAACTCCCCAGGACTTTCACAGACCTTTCATAAACTTTCCTTTCAGCTCTTAGGCATAGAACTGACTGTGATGGGGTGTAGCCGGCATTTGCTGCCCCTACCAGAGGCCCCGCACAACCTTTGCACACCCCTCTCTACAAAGTGGTCCTTTTGGAAATGACGAAAAGTGAGTTTGGACCTCCAGGAATTATCTACAGAGATCTCCCAGGATCAGCTGCCGGTGGAACCAATGAGACTTGGTCTTCCTGCAGCTAGAAGGGCTGGGAGCAGGCAGAAGCCAATCAGGGCTCAGCAAGAAAGATAAAAAGAATTGGCTGCTTCTTTCAAGGACCAGTTCTGGGTGAAGCTGTGACAGGGAAGGCAGGCTCTCCCTCTCTTAAACTTAAGAAACCTGGCCTATCAGGGACCTCGTTCTAACACCATTTTGCCTGGCTCAGCAAAGGGCTGGTTTTTTTATGTTATGATCTTTAATGTCCAGGTGGCCATTTTGAGTTGTGTTAATTTATTTTTCTGTAAAATTAAGGCAAGTCTGTTCTGCAGGACACCCTGGCTCATGCGGGCCTGTTACACTAACTCTAGGAGATGTTGTTTCATCGATGCATCTGCCCCATGCAGTGGGTCAGTAGTGCAGAAGTTTGGGGGGCGGGGTTGGCTGGAAGGGGCACATCACTCTTTTTCCAGCTCCTGCAGGAGCCTCAGCTGTGGCTAAAGGCTCCACATGAAAAATTATCTTTGGCAACTGCTCGTTAAGAGAGAGAGAGAGAGAGAGAGAGAGAGGAGCCATGTTTTCAAACTCTGGCAATTTGGGGATGCAGTTGCTGCATGTCATTTAGATGTCTAAATACCCGATTGCCCTAGTAAATCAAGGGCATAGAGGACAAATTGAACTAAATGGCATCTCTACAATTTCAGGCACAAAACCAGAGGCCAAGTTAAGGCCAGGCTGCAAAACTCACCCAGGGTTCATATGCGATTCAGGAACTTCTCTCTCCCAACAAAAAAATAACGAAAAATGGCCTGGTGGCCTAGTGGCTGTTCTTTGCATTTCCACCCAGGAGAGCTTCATTTGATTTCTGGTCCCCATCTCCCATTCTCCATGCTGGCAGGGATTGAGAATGCTGCAGAGGCAGTTCACTTAGTCCTTGGGAGAGAGGGAGCGACACGACATCCCCCAGTGAGTAGGGATTTGCCTGAGCCAGAACACCAGAGTTCTCTGGGGAAGTTCAGATGCAAATCCAGGGACAGATTTCCTAAAACTCTAGTGGAAATACAAATGCAGATCTCCTGGGCCTGGCGCTACTCAGCAGAGACCATTTTAGGTAGTTAAAAAGTGGTATTGATGAGCTCTGAAAAGAGTCCTATCTAAATTCCCCTGCGCAGAAGGAGAGCAGCCATGATACAAGGCCTGGGGGAACATAACACAGATGCCATTTACAAACAAGCCAGGAGCCATGCCCAATCCTGGGATTAAATATACAAATTGTAAAGTCCTTTAGTCAGGCGTGTTAAGCTCCTGATGCTTTAGCAAATTTTCTGAAACATGAGATAACTCCAGAGGTCTTGAAAAGCCCCAACCCCCTTCAGCACTTTGCTCGGTCTGGCCAGGTAGCCAAAGCGGGAACCACTATTATTAAGTGCAGTACTGCACCTTCCAGGGATTCCTCCTCCGTAGGGGTTTACAGTCCACTGGGGTAGGGAGCCTTGTTAGTTTAAAAAAAGAATTACAAGGGGACCCCCCCAAAACTCACTCTGAAGATATAAATTGCAGCGGGACAGTCCTTCCAGGTGTGGTCATTTCTAATTTATCAGAGAGGGCCTATCAAAAATGAGTTGGATGCTTCTGATTTACACTGATTAATATCCATGGGCTAGTGTTTTTCACCTGGCTCGTTAAGGAAAGAAAAAGAAATCTGCAAATAGCATCCAAGCTTTGTGGCTGGGGGAAGACGGACCCCAGTGAACGTCCCTTCCATTTCTGGGTTACTAATTCAACCTTATCGGTTCTGGGGGAGCAGCGGAGGTGGGGGATTTAGTGGGCTGCAGAAAGAACAGCATGCTAAGTAAGGACTCTGACCCCAGGCTGGGCTTGACACTCCTCTCACACCAGTGAAAATCGGGTGTAACGACCCCCAAGTCATGGAGTTATCCTGGTGTATGTGAGAAGAGAATCAGGCCCTGTATCTCTTATCTACATCAACTCCAGGCATCAACTCCAGGCTTTACCTCGTGACATATTCCTTTCTGTTGTCAGCTGAACACCCAGAGAATGTTTAATAGAAGATGATGTAGGAAAGGATCTAGCAAGGAATTTACAAGCATCACCTGGGGAGAGGGATGGGAGCCAAAGCACCACATAACCCATTATATGGCAGCATCCGGGTACACAGAATTCTCCAGGGCTGTGCACATACCATGGAAGGAAGGAAGGAAAGAAGGAAGGAAGGAAGGAAGGAAGGAAGGAAGGAAGGAAATTGGTTTGCCAGCTGGGTGTTTTCTGAGCTCTCCCAGCTCTGTTGCTAACCTGAAAGTCAGTCCCGATTTGCTCTTCAGGTTCCTGAGGAGTTCCAGCTGGTTCAGAGGCGGAATGAGTCTAAAGTGAGAAAATGAGAGACAATGACATTCAGGCAGAGACAACATCGCAACTTCCTGTGGCGGGAACTTCCCCACCCACCTACTTTCAACCAACCTGAGCTTCGTGTCGGGGTTTGCAAACACTGGGCGGCTTGGGGAGAATGAACAGGGATTGGACCTCTAAGGCCACTTTTCAAAGTGCCCAAAGGTAGGTGCAGGAGAGAGAGATAGCAAGACAGTGAGAGAAAGAGAGAGAAATTTCGTCTGCGTTCTTGTATCTCTAAACTCTCCGAAGTTGAGCAGTGGCCAGTGTTCCTATACAGTACTGTTGCGCTTGGCAAGGCAGGTGTTTACAGCATGTTGTTTAGCAGTTGGTCCTACTTTGTTAGAGGTGCCGTGCAGGCCCCAGAGACATGGACTGGCAGAACTCAAAGTACACTGTAGTATGATCCTGTTGCCAGGGGGCAGAACTCCAGAAATTGGGGGTATCCTGGAGGAAGAGGCAGAACCTTACAGTGTGAGGGGAGACAGACTTCCAGAGGCTGCGAGTATCCAAGGAAACTGGCAGCAGTTTTGAGAACTTTAAACAAATGCTCAGTCCAGCTTTGAATTTGGTTGAATGTTTGATTCATACTTCATATGTCCAGTCCTGGTGAAGACAAACTAAATGTATGATACGCCTTGTATTTTAGGGTAGAACTGAGGTTTCCTCCTCATCTGTGATCTGAAACTTACAGAAAAAGAGACTGACCCAACCACCCTGATCATCCATTGGTTCATGAAAAATTCTGCCTCTCTGGCTTCATCTTTCTAACAACATCAAACCTACTGAGTTGCAATGGCACGGCAAGTATTAACTGTGCTGGCCACCTTTATGTCAGCTGGCAGAAGCATAGGAGATACGTTTATGTAAAGGGCAGAAAGAGTGCTACTGTGAGTTCATGAAACCTTTAGGGATCTGAGGATGGCTCTATAAATATTTTATATTGATATTCACAGTCGAGTTCTCAACTGCGAGAGAAGCAGACTGGAAATGCCGGGAGATGGGATTCGTCTCCGTAAAAGATACGCTTGGCTGGAAAGAGCAGCATCCACTCAAGGGTCTGCTCAGGGACTCTGTGCTCAGGGTCAGGGGCTGATGGGACAAATCCAGATGCTTGTTGAGACTTTCTTTGCACAACCCTGATGTGTCCTTGTCAATATCTGAAACTGCTCCTTCCAGCATGTCTTCCCGGAGGGCATGAAATCAGCACAGATAACCCTCCGTCCTGCCTGTGACAAGTCTCAAAATATTTATACTCTTGCCCAAAATAAATGGGCCCAGATACTAGCTAGCTAAGCCTGGAATGGGTGTAAGAGCTTGTCTTCACTATCACTCTATAATGGTGCAGCTGCGCTGACAAAGCGCGTCTGGTGAAGACGCCCTATGTCGCTGGGTGAGCGCTCTCCTGTCGACATAATTACTGCACCTCAACAAGAGGCGGAAGGTATGTTGGCAGGAGAGCGTCACACCCTTGAACGATGTAAGTTACCTTGGCTTAGGTGGTAGTGTAGACAAGCCCTAGCTAGCCAGACCCTTATGCAGCTCTTGGCATCCTCAGGCAGCACATCAAGGAATTTATGCTCATTCAAAGAAGAGTCACCCACTCTGGACTGCTGCCTCCTCCTCAACATATCCAGCACCTCCTACATGGCAGCTGGCTGGGTTGCTTACAAATGTGCCACTCACAGCATGTAGGGGAGGGCAGTTCCTAACGTCGGAATATCAGTGCACAGTTAGCAACTAAGGAGGACAGAGCATCAAAACAAGCTGCATCTTCCCCCACCATCTTCTCTCAGGTGATCACTTCTGTGACGCATCCAGACTCCTGGCGAAAAGAGCAAGAACCGTGAGGTGTCTCTTGCATGGGCAGGATCTCTTTGCTGAGATATGACCCAGCGGTTCAGATCTAAAACTGGGCTCTACACTTCAGGTAAAGGAGATTCTGCATTAGCTGTCAGCAATCGCGGGACTGATATCTAGTCATTACAAGGCAAGAAGCATTACAGCATTTAGATGTTCCCCGTGGCTTGGATGCACCTGTCCTTCCCAGATGAGCTATCACACTGGTCATAGACACTGGTCCACGTTTCTTATGCACCTGCTCAGTCAATCTTGGAACAAAGCAGGGCATAATTATGGACAGTGTTCTTCAGCAGGTTTAAATCAAAAGGGCAACATTTTCAGTGGTCTTGCTTGACTGAACACAAATGATTATAAGAGCATGTGTGCTGCATGTACAAAACTCACATTTAAAAGCACAATGATCTATTCAGTGAATGTAACAGTTGGGTTTTTGTGTGCACAGAATGGAAGTGATCACCAAGTTTCTAAAGAGGTTGACCTAAAAATAGGGCCTCAATATTTGGCCTGGCTTCCTTTACAGAGCAACACAGCCACATTCCTCTTACATCTCTCAGCCAGTTTTGTTTCCACCTAAAGGATAGCACATATTGAAGCCAGTAATCCTGATGAGTTAATGATCCTATCAGGGAGAACCTGATCTCAGTGCAGTGGAGTGATGCATGAAGCACTTCATCATTATGTCCATTCAGGGTCACTGGTTGCTTTTGTAGATTCCTTGCAGGGCGTTATCTGAGCAGATGTGTGCACAAAATCAAGCACAAAATGCCGTTGATTTTTACTGGAAGTTGTGCACCTAATTCCTTTTTGTGGATTACTTTCTTCATCTCAAGTAAAACATCTGGTGATGGCCCTGCTTTTCTGCACTAGGGTGAGCAAACTAGGAGTTCAAATGGCCTGTCCAATGTGACCCGGCAAGTCAGTAACTCAATCAGAGCCAGGTTCCAAGATCTTCCTGTTGGCTCTCAGTCACTTGCCCCGACCACTGGAACAAACGCATTAGGCTCACATGACTCTGAAAATGGCTGCCTCTCCACAGAACAGCTTCAACCGTGTGGCTTCCAAACGCCAGCAGTTGAATGCAGCATTGAAGCCAAAGGAACGAAAGCAAGTTCCCAAATACAGATGCTACATTTTAATGGTGGAGTCTGTGTGCTTTGGGGAGCAAAAGAAGGAAGGTTGACTAGTCTTCTGGTGATCATCACTGGAGCCAGGAGCAAACCTGCTGAACCCAAAACCTAGATGTGAGAACTGCCGCTCGGCCTCCTCTCTAGCTATCATATCCGTTCAGGAACCAGTTACTGAGCTGCTCTCCCAGTGAAGGACACTGCAGCTTTTATGGCTTCATAAGCCCCATATGAGGGGAAATGGAGGGCTCAGCTAACAACAAATAATATTGGTTTCGCTGAGTTTCATAACAAACTGTTGGATCTTGACATCTTTGAGTCTCTAAGGGAATGTCTACACAGCAGGTGGGAGTATGCCTCCCAGCTCGGCTAGACAGACGCACTAGCTCTGCTCAAACTAGAATGCTAAAAATAGCAGCGTGGCCGTTGTGGCCTTGGCGATGGCCCAGGCTAGCCACCCAAGTATGGACCCAGAGGGTCAGGCGGGCCTGTACTCGGGCTGCTAGGCCATGCTACTGCCAGAGCTACAAAGTCTATTTTTAGTGCACAGCTCAAGCTGAGCTAGAGTGGGTCTGTCCACCCAGGTTGGGAGGCACGCTCCCAGCTGCAGTATAGCAGTCCCCTGAATGTGCTCAGGTGGAAGAGAATTGGGTGTGAAGTAGGGTGTTGTTGTGCTTTGTGCTAGGACGTGGAAAAGAACCTGAGATTGTGGTGTTTGACATTTTCTCTCTCTCGTCCCAACATTCGTTTCACTTGCTTGAAGGGTGCATGTTTAAAGACCGGCCAGGCAAGAGGATGCACACACCAAGGTACACTACTACACATAGCTCATGCTACCCAACACAGCAGTGGTTAGAATTCCTACTTCCTGCACAGGCTCCATTGGTTTGTACTTGTGGCTCCAGAGTGAATCGTCTCATCTCTCTCATTAAATTGACCGCCCTGCTCTTGTTGATACATCACAAGAAACACAACACTAGCATCAGGCATTCCCTGCCACCGCAAAAGGGAGCACAAAATTACTGTTGCTGGGAGCACAAATATTCAAGCATAACAGAGCCAAGGCCGTAGGGTTCTCATGCCTCAAAGCCCGCCACAAAAAAAATACGATACCATCGCAAAACACAACACGGGGAAAACAGCTGGACAAGGGAGTGTGCGCGCACACACACACACACACACACACACACAGAACCGATAGTCATTATTTCATAATGCAGCCCCAGGGAGTGAAAAAGACTGAGCAACAGAGCAATGAGAAGAAGTGGATGTCAGAGCTGGGTGGACAGCATGGTACTCTGAGAGGCCCAAGATGCTGCAAGTCCTGTCTCTGAGAGGAACCACACTTACAATGAACCCTCCTTTGCATTGTAGTTTTGTCTTTATGGGACAGAGAATGATATACACAAAATTGATAATGAGGAACCCCGTCTTATAGCTTTTACTCACACAAGCAGTCCCATTGACTTCACTGGAATTACTCATGTTAGTAAGGCTTGCAGAACTGGGCCCTATAGGCCAGATCTTTGTTGGCGTCAATGGAGCTATGCTGATTTACACCAGCTGAGGATCTGGCATTGTATGCATATGAATTTTGAATGCATATGAATTTTCAGCTGCAGTCCCTGATTTTTGCATGCCCATGTTTGCTTATGCAACTGATTCTGCTTGCAAAAATGCATAGACTCATTCTGCACTTAAATATGGGTACTCTGGGCACTGTTGTCAGGGTAGGCAAAAGTGCACATGCAAAGTTGAAGGCCAATTTGAGGCTGGCGGAAGTTTGGGCCCACTAACTTGCATAGGGTTTTCTTAGCTAAATTCCACTTCGTTTCTGCAAAATTGTTATGTACTGTAGCTACTGGGGCCTGATCCTTATTCCAATGAAGTCAATAGCCTAGGTGGCATTCAGGCCAGAACTAACCATGCAGTTGCTTTGTAATTGTAGAGTAGTAAGTCTGTACACAAATGGCTAAAATATAAAAATTGAGGTGAAGTATGTGTCCTGTAAAATAAACTATTTTCTGAAGTATGACTTTGTGGCTCTGACCTGAACAACTCTTCATAAATTTTCCAACTTCGGGAAGTTTGTAAATACCTTTATTTTATGGACTGCAAACAAGAGGCCAGTTTTTTATCTCCATTATACCAGCGTAAAGGCCTGATTTTCAAACCGAGCTTCCATTCTTTGCCGCAGTGAAGTATATCCACAACTCTGTACCTGCAGTTCATTGTTGCTTTTTTCCTGTAAATTCACTGCAGGGACAAAAACGTGACTGCAGTTCACTGTGGCTGTAAAACGTGCAACTGCAAAAACTGAGGCTGGGTTTGGAAAAACAGGCCTTCAATCAGATTGACATCACTGGAGTTGATGTGGATTTACACTGTCGTAACAGAGAACAGAATCAGGCCTGCAATTTTGAAATGCAAAGCAGCAAATAGGTGATCACTGTTCTCCTTCTTAAAATAAATATTTACTTTCCTTTGGGATTTCCTTCATGTATAACATATCCCTGTGATTTGAAAATCCACTTTTAGTAGCCACTGAGAAAATATCTATTCATAATAAATCTTTTACATGTATCATATATAGATCCTTTCAACCTGAACGACCCCAAAAGGTTAGACTCACTGAATGAATTATTTATTGCAAACAGTTCGCTCAGTTCTAGCTCTGACTCAGAGGGAAAAGCGCCACCTACTGAATTGCCAACAACGCTCATAAACCTTGTTGAGGTTAAACTGCCCCTTCAAAAGCCAGCATGGGCTGTCAGGTAAGGTAAAAACGGTCATTTCGATTTAACATATCTTCATTGGTAGCTAGTGGCCACAGCTGCTACAACAAAGAGTGGATTGGGATAAGAGAGGGTTGGAGAGGAGAAAAAAGGGGTGAAGGAGAGGAAAAGTTGAGAGATGGAAGTAAGAAAAAAAGGATGGGAAAAGGGCAGAAAAGAACAGGGAGTTTTCTTGTTAACTGTCCTATGAATCTGAAGATGCTCATAACTTGAGCTAAGAAAACCAAGCTCATTGAGAAACCTCCTGTTCTCCTTCCTGACATTGCCACTTAGATGTACAGTTCCCCAACGCTTGTGCAAACCATCAGCTAGACTGTTGATGAAGATGCATGGAATTGAGTGGGGAGGTTGATTTTGGAGCTTTTTAAAAAAAAACCAACAACACGGGGTTTTGGTTGTATTACAGGCTTAGCATGTTACGGTCCCAGACGAGGAAGGAGTGACATAACACACGGTTTCAGATTCACATGCGCTTCATACCTGGAGGCACCATACGTTTGCGTTTGCGAGCTTTTCAAGTGTGTTCACCAAAGAAAACAAAAGGGGTCAGAGAAAGAAAAACAGCAAAAGGGGGGGAGGGAGGGAGAAAAGAAACAGAAGAAAGAAAATTAGCATGTGAGCTACCGGTATTTCAATGAGCAGGTGTACTGTGAACCAGGCTTACAGGTGGCTGGCAAACCTGAATTGGCTCCGGCATTCCCAACCTCAGTAGGACTACAAATTGCTGCATATCTGCATCGCCTTCAATAACGGCTAGTCTAGGGTTTGCTCAGAAAGCAAAGGTGGGCAAAAGAGATTGAGGCAAAAATGTAGAAACCTCCAACCTTTTGCAGACATTCCCTGGGGGAATCGTTACACTCGGAGGTTCTGTCAGCAAAAAGCTGGGGCCTCTTCCTGGAATCACATGATCTCCTCACTCTGAAATGCTGACTAATGAGGGACCTCTCCAGAAGCATAGCTCCTGGGTTCAATGTGTCCAAGAATGAGGTTCAGAGGACCTACACTAATTCCATACCACAAGCATATCTCTAGCGGCCATTGATTTATACACAGGGAGAGCATTCCCATCAGGGATAATAATGTAGTCGAGAGCTGGGTATCGTTATAACTGGTGGTGATGGACACAGTCCTTTTAAACAAATCTGGTTACAAATTTACACAAAAGTTTCTGACGTCTGGGTGTATAAGTATGTACATGCATAAATGCCCATTACAATGTGCTTTTCGATGCAGATTCAATATCGGCATGTATCCATATGTTTCACACATTTTATTTATGTGAACTTTGGTACTGACATACTTTGAGTGTAAGGGTTCAATTTTAGATTTTCTAAGAGAATAAAATATCCTCCCAAAAGAAGTGGGCCTAACTCTACTGCAGTAGGTCAATGCAATGAGGTTCCGGAGAAATCTGATGTTCCCCCAAGGCGTATGTAATAATTTTCCAGTATGAAACAATCCATTCTTTGTGGGAGCAACATCGAGAAGACATGTAAGCCCGTGTCACAGGGTTCCTGCTGACAGCTACTTCATGAGAAATAAGCAGTACAATGTGAGCAAAAGATGAGTCCATGCCAACCTACCTGCTTTGTGCCAAGGTACCAGTCACCACAACTTACTTATCACGCGGAGGAAATACCCACTTCCCCATAACCACTTTCAAAACAGACTTATTCATCTGCTAGATTACAGCAGAGGTAACCCACGGCAGGACTATCCTGTGTCATTTCAGGCCATGGGACATGCCATCAGTGACTTATATTGCTTATTTCATTCGCCAGTTTGAAATAACATATGAATTCCTTAGGGAAGTGGGTAGAAGAGGGCAGAATGGACACTGTGCCTCTGTGTGTGATGAAAGCTACAGCCAGAATATAAAGTTAACCCCCTCTCCCTTTTTTTAAGGGGGGCGGGAAACGATCTGTATTGAGCTTAGCCTGACGGATTTCAAGGGATATTGACATGGGAGGTGATATATTACAGAGCGAACCCCATCCATTAAATCATTCCCTGTGGAAGGCTACTGATGTTTCTGTGCAGCAGCCAGGAGGATGTACCACATCGGATGAGTGACACCGGCACTCAGTGCTCAATTTGTAATGAAAGAGGTGCCAGGGCTCAAGCAATTTTGTTCACTTTAATAACTGACGTGGCAAGAGGTGCCGGGGCTCTGAACTGCCCAGCCGAGAGGTGCCGGGGCTCTGAACTGCCCAGCCGAGAGGTGCCGGGGGGCTCTGAACTGCCCAGCCGAGAGGTGCCGGGGGGCTCTGAACTGCCCAGCCTAGAGATGCTGGGGCTCAACCCTGGCACAAATGAAGCATTGCTGGCACTGTGTTTCCTCCAGCGTGTCGGGCACATTATGCAGCAGCACTTCGGTGGTTCATTTATATCATGGTAATTCTGGTTAAATGGCACACCTTTGCCTGTGTCAATTTAGCAACTGTAATAAGAGGATCTTCGATGGTTTACAAACGTTTATTAATATTGCTGACGCCCATCTGAAGCCAGGTTTATTATCCCCATTTACAGTCAGGGAGATTTTGTTATGAAGAGGTTACAGTAAGTGACTTTTCCAAGATCATACCACAAGCCAGTGATAGCGCTGACACCAGAACTCTGTTGTCCTGGCTCCCAGTTCCATATCTATAACCTCCCGATCATACATACTCCCCTGGATATGGTGTTATATGAGACTTCATAGTAATGACAGTATTGCTACATTTAGAAACTGTAGTACAATAGAAACCTGTTAAGCATTAACAAGGTGCAAACCAAATCCCTAGACATGCAGACCTGCCATTTGGGGAAGTTCATCAGATCTTGTTCCACATTCAGATCTGGCTCCAAACTATGTGGCTTAGGCCATATGTAACATATTGGTGGGACATGGTTTTCTTTTGACCTTTTGGGTGACATTCACTGTACCTGCACATAGCACAATAATCAGGGTTTATGCAGGTGAAATTCGGTGGGAAAGGAAAGTGAATTGGAGACAAAATCTACCCTTCCCAACCCAGGGAAAATGCATTGGACTTCAGCCCTAGGGATACAATAATGGCCGTCATTTGTGAGGGGTGTGATGGCCAGTGAACCCACGTATTCAAATGTCCCCAACCCTTAGTCACCTCCAGCTCCACCCTATGGGCCAGCCTGTGCAGGACTAGTGGTGACACCTCCTCCAGGGACCACAGCTCATGCAGTTGTCCCTCAAACGGTGCTTAATTGACTTGCATCAACCCCCCACCCCCACCCGCCATGAGTAACTCTCATCCTTGAGGGGTTTTTATTTAAGATGGCTCTACTCTTTCATAGGCTAAATTTCAATTCCATGCATCCAAAAGGTCTTCATTTAACTGACCAGATTAGCGTTCCACCTGAATTTCAGCTTTTGGTCCACGTGATGCAACCTGTCCATAGGCTTATTCTTTCAAACAGTCTCCAGGCCTGATCCACAGCCCACCGAAATCAATGGCTGTGCTGCCACGGACCACAACGGACTTTGGATCAGATCCAATGCTCTCACTCTCGCTGAGAGCTGACTTCGGCAGGAATTATTTAACCTCAATTAAAGGCAAGGAGAAGGGAGGGGGAGACTCAATGAATGAGTGCAATGCTATTGGGAAACAGGTTTTTTAAATAAAACACTGAAGGTGTTTCATAAATGTCTTCAGCTGAAAGAAATAAACATAGGGAATGAATCCGGTTCAAAACTTGCTGACCATAATAGTAATGTGAGTTCCAGTGGAGTTTGAAAATGTATTAACAGACTGGCTGCAGGGTTTCTGATAGGCCCACCCACCCTAGGAAACGTATTCGGATTGGCTGCTAGGATTCCAACACGTACCAATAATCAGGGAGAACAGAAACAGAACAGAAACAGATTTTTCTGCAGAAAAGGACCTAGACGAGAAGTTGGATATTAGTCAACAGTGTGCCCTTGTTGAGAAGAAGGCTAGCGGCATTTTGGGCTGTATAAGTGGGGCATTGCCAGCAGATCGAGGGACGTGATCATTCCCCTCTATTTGACATTGGTGAGGCCTCACCTGGAGTACTGTGTCCAGTTTTGGGCCCCACACTACAAGAAGGATGTGGAAAAATTGGAAAGCGTCCAGCGGAGGGCAACAAAAATGATTAGGGGTCTGGAGCACATGAGTTATGAGGAGAGGCTGAGGGAACTGGGATTGTTTAGTCTGCAGAAGAGAAGAATGAGGGGGGATTTGATAGCTGCTTTCAACTACCTGAAAGGGGGTTCCAAAGAGGATGGATCTAGACTGTTCTCAGTGGTACCAGATGACAGAACAAGGAGCAATGGTCTCAAGTTGCAGAGGGGAAGGTTTAGGTTGGATATTAGGAAAAACTTTTTCACGAGGAGGGTGGTGAAGCATTCAACTACCTGAAAGAGGATTCCAAAGAGGATGGATCTAGACTGTTCTCAGTGGTAGCAGATGACAGAACAAGGAGTAATGGTCTCAGGTTGCAGTGGGGGAGGTTTAGGTTGGATATTAGGAAAAACGTTTTCCCTAGGAGGGTGGTGAAGCACTGGAATGGGTTACCTAGGGAGGTGGTGGAATCTCCTTCCTTAGAGGTTTTTAAGGTCAGGCTTGACAAAGCCCTGGCTGGGATGATTTAGTTGGGGTTGGTCCTGCTTTGAGCAGGGGGTTGGACTAGATGACCTCCTGAGGTCCCTTCCAACCCTGGTATTCTATGATTCCATTATATGATTCTAATAGGCAGCTCTATTGTCTGACAGTTCCTCCCTGGGGTAACAGACCTACCGTTCCAATACTGTACCATGCTATTCTCTAGTGGGGTAAATAAGAAATCCGTGGGCTGTCTCAATGCCCGACAATGAGAATGACAAGACAACGGCTGGCACCATCAATCAATTCCTACTGTGGAACTAACCCGGTTGATTCATTCAGAATCACAGACTGTCCTGTGTAGCTCCAGGTAAGCACATTAAAATGACAGGGATGAACAATGCTGCCTGGCGATGCATTGCACGTTAAGCCTTGGATGTGTAAAATGACACTCATTTCTATTTTTGGCATCAAGGGAAATCCGTAACTGCTCCCGCATCTTGGCATTGCCATATTGTGGAGCCTGCCTGTGGGGGCAGGGGAGCACAGTCTGTTTCGCCACATGCAGAGGACAGAGAGGGACTGCTGAAAAGGATCCTTATTTTTGTGAGCTTCTCTTCAGGGCATCATGCCTCATCCTGGGGATTTCCTAGGATTTTCCTAGGGAATTTCAGTGCATCTGCAAGTCCCACCCTGAAGGGAATGCCACTCTCCAGCTATCCCCACTCTAACTGGGGTCATTTAAGCTTCCAGTGCTGCCTTAGTATTAGCAAGAGGTCATTCCATTTAAACCATGCCAAACTGACACGGATGCCGTTCAAATGTGGTGGCTGCCCTGTAGCCAAGCAAATCAGATTTATTTCTTGCAGTTCTTCAGTCTTTCCCAGTTGTGTGGAGCTGCTCGTGGTGGGAGGGAGGGGCAGTGCACCTGGAAATCTGAATTTTCCCCCTTTGGGACATGAGTTGCGGGGAGAGGGATCTGGCCCACGTGCTGCCTGGCTGTGGGGCAGGGGTGCTGCTGGCTTTCTGGGGATTGAGGATCAGTGTATCAGCCAGGGGCTGCATAGAGGATGGCTGGTGGGTAGGTGCTGAGAGCTGTATGGGAAGTGACAGCATCTGGGGATTGTGAGGAGAAGGATGGAGGCTGTTTGGAGGGTGAGTGGGGGGGTAGGGGAGAGGGCTGTGTGGGGACTGGCTGGTGGGTGAAGTGGGCTGGGCGCTGTGTGGGGTTCGGGCCTGGATTAGAGGTGAGGGCTGAGAGCTGTATGAGGAGCAGCTGGGGGGCTGACTGGGACAGATGGAGGCTGGGAGTTGCCTGGAGAGTGAGGGGGGTAGGTGGGGGCTGGCTGGGAGAGCATGGTGACCCTCCTTGAGCCCCTCCCCTTCAGTCCCTGCCGATTGCCACCTCCTCCTCCTGGATTCAGCAGGGGCAGCAGAGATATCAGGCACCACAGCCCCTCCCAACTGCCAGGAGAAGCATCTGCAGCCCTGCCTGATGTGTACGGGGACCCAGATGGGCTGTGTGACAGCACAATGGCACTGCCAGGTGTATGTGTGAGTCACACAAGATGCTGGGCTCTTGGCAGCCCTAGATTGCCCCCCTCCCCAGGGTGAGCTGCAGGGGCAGTTCAGGCTGCAGGCAGAGCTGTGACATACACAAGCAGTTTCTCCTATAGGTCTGACACCGGCAAAGCTGGGAGGTCAAACTTATCCGCAGGCCTCTGATAGGATGGGTCAAGCCTCAGGGCTTAAATAAGCTGTATACCCCCCTGGCGTAAAAGCTATGGAAGATGCCTGGGCATCCAAACCAGTTGTCTGGAAACAAACTTTTCTGCTGCTCTCCTCCTGAAGATGCAGGAGAACTCACTGGGGCTGGGGCAGTCCTGCCTACTGATCCGTCTGAGAGACACTGTTATCCGACATCACAAAGGCAAGCCTGGATTTCAGGCTGGGAGCCGTGTGTCCCTGAGGCCAGGACTGTCAGAAAGTGTCCACTTGCAGGGAAGGCTGCAGTGACTATTCTTTTCATCAACATCTACCTTGGGCTGCCATTTAGGATTTCCCTCCTATTGCAAGCAATTATCCGGTCTCGATAGTTGAAGAGACACAGAAGGGGAGGCTTTGCCTCATTCAACCCCCCTGGAGAGAGACGTGTGCTCTGTTTCATTTCTGACTGAGAACCATTACAATAAAAATCAACGTGGCTGCCCCAGGGCCTCATCCTCTCTTTACCCCACCAGCCTAGGTGGAATCAGAGGAAGCTGCCAGATCCTGTGAATGCCAATCACGACTCAAGGAAGCAGTAAACAAAGTGCTGCCCTGGGGCAGAATGTCAGGACCAGGCAAGGGATGGGAGCAGAAGTTTGCTGAAAGGCAGAAGAACCATTAGAATCGGGTTACAACGACATGACAACGCAACTCAGAACTAAGATCTGCATGGCAAGGCAAAGGACGCATTTACCTACTTTCCAAGGCTGCTCTGGAGGAAGTCTTCACACTGCCGTAGCAATTGTCACAACACAATGCAACTACCAATGGATACAGAAAAATAAAGGTGAAAACAACAACACACACAAAAAAGAAAATTAATATCATGGACATTAAAATAAAGCAAAAAAGAAATACCAAAAAAAAAGCCAAAAAGAAACTTAAAATTACACCAGCTCTTGCAAGCTTTTCAAATCAAATTTAAAAAATGTATTTAATTAATATAAAAAACTAATGGGCTGGATGGAGTCATTGGCATCATGAAACAGGAACCTGTAAGAAGGGGTTTAAAGCAGGTACCTGTACATGGGAACGGTGACTGTCCGTTCATAGTACTGCCAGGTAGAGTGCAGGTCCGTTCGAGAGAGGTTGGTGGCATAGAACCTCCAAGCAGCCTGTGGAGGAGAAGGGAGCTGTACATGTGAGTGTCCTTCCCATCCCAACCCTCCAATCCACAGCAAGAGAAATATGATCAGCAGATTCATCAGAGGACCAGCGTGCTAGCCAGCTGCTAATGGAAGGGTTCTTCTGTTGATTCAGACCAGTATTTTTAAAAGAGATGACCAGACAACGAGCCTATGAAAATATACAGTAATGATTAGTACTGCTGCTCAGTAAACAGTTTAAAATTGTAGCTGTATCCCTGGCTCATGGCACCCGCCTCTGAAAATGCTGCCCTCGCTTTGTGGCTGGTTGCGTTAAAAACAAAATAAAACAAACAAGTCTTAGCTGGGGTTGTAAGCACCGGTTCTGAGTCAAGGTGAGCATCTCTGGAAATCTGATCCTTCAAGACTCTCAGAGAACACCATCCTGATAGTCAATACCCATTCAGCTGGGACACACATCAAAGTTTTCAAGTCAAAGGATTACATGGCTCACAAGTAGCTCAGTCTAGTTGCTGAAGAGCCTTTCTGCTTCCTAAACCCACCGAGTCAGTCTGACACAGATCCACTCTTTGAGTCTGATTCTGATCTTAAATTGGTGCATCTCCATCGACTCCAACAGTGCTGCTACACCTGATTTATGAGAGTCTGACTGAGATCTGAATCAGACCCTCTGCCTTGATTCAGCAGCTCTCATTGGGTTCCTGCTCTGCTGGGTTTTATTTATAAAGAACAGGGTCTCTGTAGACTGGAAGACCTGACAGTCCATGGCTTTACTGCTGCAACAGCAGACTATTACTTAGATTACAATAGTGCCTTATGCACAGACATCTGTTTCCATCAAAAAATGCTTCCAACTGCAGCATCACATTCATAGACATTTTCTCTTTGCATAAAACCAATTTGGGGAAAACAGGCTGAATTAATGAATTGTCTGCATCGTGTATTAACTAAATCAGCTTGAATTTTGTCTTTTCTCCCCCCCAGACTGGCTGACAGCATCTGCTGTCATCCTGTGGATGATTTCCTTGCATTTATTTTCAGGGCTGCTGTCTAGCACCTTTTGAGCTGCCTCAAAATGCCACCTTCCCTCCTCCTCCAGAGAGTCTCAAAGAATAATGAATCGGAAATGATTCGTCTGAGACAGTTTAATATAAAGGTTCCTTGCTTGAGTCCCAGATGTTGGTCCCTTGGGTTCATTTCCCACCTGTAATGTTCTTAAAACGTGTCACTTGCACTGTTTCATGCCTTAGCGGTATTCTTCAGCGCAAGAATAAAGGGAACGTCTACACTGCAAAGCTCCCCCTCCCCCGGCACCAGCGAGGCACAGAGCCCAGGTCAACTGATTTGAGCTCACAAGGTTTGCACAACAGGGCTAACAATAGCAGTGTAGACGTTTGAGCTCAGGGTTGCCGGGTTTCAGAGCCCAGGCTCCAGCCCAAGCCACAACGTCTACACTGCTATTTTGAGCCCTGCAGCCCGAGCCCTGAGAGCCCCTCAGTTTATCCGAGCTCAGAGACTCGCTGCTGCGGGTCTATTTTCGCAGTGTAGATGGACCCTATGTGTCCATTCCTAGGAGGCTGGTTACAAGGGGTTAGGGTTTTTCCACAGCTCAAGGAAGTCCATGGGAAGACTCCCATCGATTTTGATGGGAATTAGGCAAGGCCCACAATGAAGAAGACCTTATAAGGAGAGGGAAGTGTACCTGAAACTCTACTTTGCACTAGGATGACTTTCAAATACTCTACCTAGAAACAGCATCCGTACCTGGAGGAGGCAAAGCGACTTTTTTTTTTTACACTGGTCTTTCTACACTGAAGACGCGGGGCTAGACCATCAGCTGAGTTGAGGGTGGTGAAGAAGAGGTGGCTTTATGCCACCTTTCTGTTCCACAATTCTGGACTGGCTGGGGGGCCAAAATGGCCCCATAGGGACCACTGCACCAGCTGAAGACCAGGCAGAGCTCTGGTCACTTCACCCCAGCCATGGCACGGCCCCTCTCCACCCCCTACGTGTAGGTGATGTGGAGCCTCTTTGCCAGCAGGAATCTTCGGCTGTCCCATTAGGGGAGGTTTCTGTCTGAGGCTGTGGAAAGCTGCCAGAGCAGGGACCGAGGACCTGGCCGGTCGAGTCAACTGTGGGTGAGGCCAGGAGTGGAATGAACGAGCCAGTCTCAGCTTAGCCCATAGCAGACACATATTCACTTCCCCCGGGGCGCGATTTCCAGACTCCAGGAGGGCAGGTGGAGATGCAGTGACAGAGCTAGGTGGAGAGAACACGCACAGCACCTGCCCGCACTATGCCTTGTGCGGCAGCCCAGGAATCCTCTCAATTCTATGTGTGTAAAAAGATCTCCCTTAATGAAAGACAATTAATCAGAAGCAATTCTGCTAGAACGGTCCAGATAGACAGGCTCCTTTGTCAGTTCATTCCTAGCCAGGTATTGTTACCGATACCGAAATGTAACAGACAAAAAACCCATCCACCCTGGACAGTCATCTCTGCTGAGACAGAGCAGCTGCTGGCATCAGGGGAGTTCACGCAGCGCATCTCTGTCGTCAGGATTGGGGCACTGCTTGCTAACCTGAATCAGGCCCGCTGCAGGGTTTCGTCGCTTCTCAAAGTGCTTTTGCCGATGCTGTTCTTGAACCTTCAGGGCAAAGCCAGAACCTAAAATGCCCTGGAAGAAAGAAAGAACGAGACCATTTGGAGTAATCTATGCGTTAGCCTTGCTCTAAAAGGTTGTGTTTGTGATAGTCCTACCCTGACAGCTCGCTTTCTCCTCTGATTTGTTCTCTTCTCATTTTCTGTCCCATTGAGATCATCTTGTACTTCCCCTCTCCCTAAGCTAATAATTTCCACCCACTGTAAAATGCTACGACTGAGCGATATGGAGTCTGGGGGTAAATGTTTTGCTTCTCTCAGGTGTTGCAATAAAGTGTAAGCTGTTCACCCAGTGCTGCAGTTCCATCAAGAAAAAAAGCAATTTTCTGCAATGAACGCCCAAACTTTTGCAAAAATGATTGTGATAGCTTAATAAAATCTCTCCAGTGGCCCAGGAGCGAGAAATGGCACTATCACTGGATTGTGACCATTTGGGGACAAAAACAAAGCCAATGGTTTCAGTTGCCCAAATATTTGTAAAAAGAACGAGGAGTACGTGTGGCACCTTAGAGACTAACAAATTTATTTGGGCATAAGCTTTCGTGGGCTAAAACCCACTTCATCGGATGCATGCAGTGGAAAATACAGTAGGAAGATATATATATACAGAGAACAGCGAAAAAATGAGTGTTGCCATACCACCTATAAGGAGATTAATCAATTAAGGTGGGCTATTATCAGTAGGAGAAAAAAACCTTTTGTAGTGATAATCAGGATGACCTATTTCCAGCAGTTGACAAGAAGATGTGAGTAATAGTAGGGGAAAATTAGCATGGGGAAATAGTTTTTACTTTGTGTAATGACCCATCCACTCCCAGTCTTTATTCAAGCCTAATTTAATGGTGTTTATTTTGCAGCACACAAGCCAGAATTTTTATCCTGTCCTATAATTCCCATCATGCCCCTTATTTATTCATATCTAAGGAAGCCAGTGAGTGCCTGCAGTATGAATATACAACTGTAGCTCTCTCGTGTTGTCCTCTATGTTGATTCAAAGGAGTATGCGTAGCCAGAATGCAGAGTTGCATGGAACATATTACGCTATTGTTACTTGGCTGTTTTTTTCTGATCAGTTCCAGTCCACAGAGATGTAAGCCCAAATAGTCTTCAGTATTATGTGGTTGTTTTCATGTTCCTTGAAATGCCATGTTCGTGGCAGGAAACAAAAAACCAAAACACAGGACCAAACTTTCAAAAACGTGCAGCCCCCACAACTGGGACCAGGTTTTCAGGAGAGCTTGGCACATTTTTTAAAAAAACGTTCAGTTTGTGGGAGCTGAGAGTTTTTGGAAAGTCTGGCTCCAGTTATGGGTGCTGGGCACTTGAAAGGTAATCTGAAGGGCTTCAGTGTAACTAATGGGAAAGTGCTCACCAATGGGAAAGGGTTGCTCAGTCAAACCCTTTGTGTTTCTCTCTCATAAATAAGGATTAATTAAAAAACTCCTTTCATGCATAAGCCTTGGAACAGATCCTTTGCTGCTAAACCAATGTGGCTACACTGATTTACACCAGCTCAGAATCGGGCCCTATGTATCTTATCTATGCAAAAGACAGAGATGTTCTAATCTTTTAGTTAAAAAGACTAAATCCTGAGAGGCACCAGGCAGACACAATGCTCACTGCAGTCCCTGGGCATCTCAGGGTCCTGCCCCTCTTAGTCAGTGTTGCCAACCCTCATGATTTTATCACAAGTCTCGCGATAGTTGATGTTTTTCCTTAAAACCCCAGCTCCTGGATTCATGTGATTATGTGATTTTATTTAAAACAAAAATAAGTTTGTCACCCTCATGATTGCAGAGAAAAGCTCAAAAATGTAAGCCCTAAAAGTTAAAAAAACAGAAAGCAAATCCAAATAAATCCCAAAATGTGTCCTCCCCTCCCCACCAATCTCATGACTCCATAGGGCAGCCTCAGGACCTTCTGGGGCATGACTCATGAATTTTGAACACTGGGTGCTGGCAGTACTGGGTTTTGGCCATTGAGCTGAAATCCTTTTGCTGCAATAAGTAATTAAATGACTGCCAAGTTAACAACATCATCATCAAAAAAATTAGAGAGAGCCGTACAAGCAAGATGGCAGCCTCAGTGAATGTAAGTGGGACTGTCTAGAGAAAAGATTGTGTTCTGCTTTCACGGTAATGTTTGGGTGCTTACTTACAGCAGGGAGGGCAAAAAAGGAGACCCCGATGAGGGTGAAAGTTGCAGCCAGGAGACGCCCATTCCAGGTCTGTGGATACTTGTCCCCATAGCCGATGGTGGTGAGTGTAATCTGAGGAAAAGAGAGAGTCAAAGCCTGTTCACGCCAGTGCCTTTTGGCTGGCCCCGTATTGAAAACTGAAACAACAGCTGAATGCAATTCTCTCTTCTGCATAATCTCCCCCTTCCCTGGTTATTCTTATGCCAGCTCCCAGGATTCTATCCTGCAGGGTACTTCACTGGCCTATTCATCACTGTGGCGATTTCTACAGAAATACATATGTACAGAGAGGTGTGGGAGCCCCATAGAGAAGATTACAGGATCTTTTATGTTCTCTAGAGCGATGGAGCCACATTGCGGAGTACTTACAGAGGCAGTGCAAAGTTCCTCTGCTCGCTATATCTGTGCACAATGGCAACTGGTTTACAGACTTGAAAAACTGGTTGAAAGAATTGGGTCTGTTTGGTCTAGAGAACAGAAGGCTCAGTGGGGACAGAAGTCTTCAAATATGTAAAAAAGGACAGTGATCAATCGTTCTCCAGGTCCGTCCAGGGTAGGACAAGAAGTAATCAGCTTTACAGCCAGGGAGACTTAGGTTAGGTATTAGGAAAAACTTTCTAACTATAAGCTCTGGGTTCGGTTACCTGGCTGGTGGCAGAATCCCCACCCCTGGAGTGGTTAAGAACAGGGTAGACAAATATCTGTCAGGGATGATCTAGGTATGTGTAACCCTGCCTCAGTGTGTGTGCTGGACCCCAGGGCCCCTCGAGGTTCCCTTCCAGCCCGGCATTTCTACGATTCACTCACAGCCGTGTCACAAATTCTTTCTTTCTTGTGCCTACGTATCTGCCCTTAGCCCAACGGCTGCTCCCAGCAGCAGCCACAGAAACAGCCCGCTACAATCAACAACGTACTGCCACAGACACTCCGCCTACAGGGGGGAACCGCGTCTTGCCAAGGCAACTTCAGAGGTGTTCTAGCCATCTGCCTCAGCATCCCCATCACCCGAGTATCTCGGGTCCTCCCAAAGATCTGTGGATGTATCCTCAGGCACCCCATCTATTGCTATCCCCATTTCACAGTGGGGGAAGCTGAGATTTAACCCTTCCTTGGTGCCACTACCAGGACGCAGCTTGTATCTCTCCTACTATGGGGCTGCCCTACTGCCATTGGCCGGGCACACATCTCCCAGGCACACGATCACCCCAGCCATGCCTCCTCCCATCCCGCTCTCTCCCTTCATTCTCTGGACCATCCCAGCTCGTCCCAGACCACCTCTGCGGTAGGAGGGAGGGGTTCCACAGAGGTGCTGCAGAGTTTACACCAGTCCTAGGGCCCCTTTCTACCAGCTTATCTTGCCTACGTTCACCCAGGGAATCTATGGCAGAGCTAGGCACTGAACCCGGAGCCTCTGATTGCCAGTCCAGTGCGAAAACCACCAGGCCATCCTTCCTGCATGCTGTGCGGAGGGATATGAGCTTTTACTTCCGTCCCTCAGAATGGGCAGCTTTTCTCATTAAACAGGCGTATACTCATCACTGCCTTCTGGGGAGAAGGCGTCTGCGCTTTAGTCCAAAGCATCCATGTAGGAGATGGAATGGCTCCTTCAGGACTGAGAACAATAACCCAGTATTCCCCAAACTCACATCAAGCATTTCAGCTGTGGATCTTTCAAATGAGGCACAGTTATTTCCAGGCATAAAGGTCTGAAACTGTTTATTCCTAATCTTTCCAAAAGTGCCTATTAACTGGCTTCCCTTCCAATTTCAAAACAGCACAGTACCCTGAAGGTATGAATTACTGCTGCTTAATACAGCCTGATTCACGACTGTGAATATATTACTGATTATATTGCTATAATGTTCCAAGCAGGGGTTGGGATATTGGCATGTATGTGTGTTGTGGGAGATTTGCAAAGATACCCTTGAACTCCAGAATGCAGGAGAAGAGACCGGTATAGCTTTACTGCCAACATTCTGCTGGCAAAGGATGGAGAAACTTAGGCTTGTAGCCTCCAGCAATGGAAAGTCCACCCAGAGCAGGGTCACAGCGGGCTACAACCCTGCTTCCCCAGGTGGTCCAGCACAGCCCACAAAGTGGGTGGAGCAAGTCAGGATGGGGTGAAGCAGGCAGGGATGCGGTGAAATCAGAACATCTTCCAGGCAGCCTCTGTAAGCAGCACTATGTATTCCTCTCCAGAATTGAAACTGCCCCTCCTCTTCAACTGCTTCGGGTACAGCTGCCTCGGAAGGTTCAAACTGCACCCCAGCCCTGCACCTATGGGGTTAATTAAACCTACTGCACATTAACTTAAAACAAACTCATTTTTATATGAAGAAAAATATAATCAGTGGCTTTCCCTGAAGCATTTTATAGACATAAGCACTATAAACGCTTTCCATTAGATGCCATTTAGACAAAATATTTAGCAAAAAGCATCTTAATGATTGTTCTATATTGAAACACATCTTGGAAACAGTTTTATTCTATATTCACTGAGCTGTTACTACACAGATTTCAGGAGGGAGTTATCTAGGCCGGAGCCACTAAGTGCAGATCCAGAAAAGGAGCCAAATATTCCCAAAATATGGGGGGTGCTTGCATTTGGCGTTTGAATTCAGACCTACCTCTTTGTTGTTATTTATTTGTACTGAAGTAGTGCCTACAGGTCAGATCCCATTGTGCTAGGCACTGTATAAATATACAACAAAGAGACAGCCCCCTGCCCTGAAGAAAGAACTCACAGTCTAAGGAATATGTGATCAATCACTCCTCCATTAAAGAAAGTGTTGCTACAGACATAAAAACAAATACAATCCTGTAAGGAAGGATTGAACTTAGATACAAACTCGTCTTAGGTAGTTCTTCTGCCCTGTACCATTCACTGTCAGTTCCAGGGCCACTAATCAGTATTTCAGGACCACGGTCAGTGACCAGAACAGTGGAAGGTCAGATTTGTTCTTCCCCAGAGACAGGTCTAATTTGCAAAATTTGGAACTTTGGTGAAATCCTGACCCCACCGACGTCAATGACAAAACTCCTATTGATTTCTATGAGGCTAGCAGATCACCCCTGAATTTCAAATCCCCTGTGGCCGTCTGCTCCCTGACTTCCAGCAATCAGGGAGTTAAATCTTTATTTAGACCTCACACAAAGTGAAATATTGAAGCAGGGTTGGGAGTGATGGCTCGATAAGGCTCTCAGAGGAATACCAGAAGCTGTACGAGTGGTTATTTGATAGTACAACTGTTCCAAATTTTCAATGGAAATTTTCATTGCAATTTTGAATATCAATGAAAAAAAACCTATGGGAAAAATATTCAATGAAGTGTTTGCAATATTTTCCCCATATTTGAGCAGCTCCGTTTGACAGATAAAAAGAATAGCTCCAAGTCTAGTTGTCTTGGAGGGGAGAGAAGGGTAGTAAACTTGGCTTTGATTTTTCTCATTGTTTGTTTTCTAGTTACTTCAAACCACGCTTTGTTTTCCTAACTGTAACCAATGTGCTTGAAAACCTTGATGAGCAATTTACTAACAACAGTCTTCCCATTGTTGAATCAGCTGATTCCTCCCAAAGCTTGGAGCTGTTAAGATCTCGGATTTTGGTTGGGGGCCCATCTGTAGGTTTTAACAAGCTTTGTCTTGAAGCCGAGACTGGCTTCCAGAAGTGTTGGAGCAGGAGAACAATAGACAAAGTAGATTAGAACCTCGTTAATTCTCCCTTTGTTAATCTGCTAATCCAATAATTCACACACTCACACACACAAAGAAAAACTAAACAACAGCAGTGTCCTCTCTGCACTTGTCAGCAAAGATTTAATAGCACAGTGACTTCACGACTGAAAGCATTCTATTACTAAGAGCTCATTACTTTTTACAAAATATGCTCCAGTGCATTTAACAGCATATTATGATGTATTATTATGAATAATTAAAAGCAAATAGCACTTGTCAAAATACATGATCAAAATGCATTTAGTAATTCAGTATCTCTGTTAGATATGGCTCAACTGTTCTGGTGCAACTAAGTCCATGGTAGGAGGTGATATTGAGTTGTAATATCCCAGTGGGAGGTCCTGGAAGCATTGTGCCTCTGATATTCCTAGTGACCCCACAGAGCACAAGTGCTGTTCCAACCTTGAAAGCCATGGTCCGGACTCCTTTGAAAAGACTGGTATGAGGAGCATTTCCTCCAGGAAGCCTAGGAGATGTTCGCCAACTAACACCGACTTGGGCTGAAGCACATTTAAGGATTGAGGCTATTTAGTACTTGCTAAGTAAATATTTCGGTTGATTGTGTGCTTTATCCCTTCCCGCCAGCCCTTTGGAAGAACCCTATTGTCTTAAGCAGTCAACTGTTCAGCGCTGGAGCTTGGGTGGGATTCTCCAAAATGCTGAAGCCCAATGCGACTTGTGTGGCTAAGTTACTTAGACCTTGTCTACACTTGTAGGGTACATGTGGCTACATGCTGCAGCACGGGGGCTGGAACAATGTGTATCGTGGGGGTGCCGAGAGCCATTGAACCAAACTGTAAACCCCTGTATATGATGGAAACCCCTTCAAACGAGGGGGTGAGGCAGCACCCTCAGCACCCCTATTTCCAGCGCCTATGCGCTGCAGTGAAAAGCAAGATGCGTCCCCACTGTCTGCGGTGTGTTGCAATACGCAGCAGTGAAAGGCTCCGGCAGAGGGGAGCCTGTCTCTGCTTCCAGAGTCTTTCACTGAGATGGGGAAAGGGGCCAGGAGGCAGCGGGATGCTACAATGCTAAAAATAGCAGTTTAGATGGGGCGAGCACTGCCTAGGCCTGCAGAGAGCCATGTAGGGTATATACCCGAGGGTTCAGGCACATAGGGCACTCGACTCGCCTAAGAAGTGCCTCACCATCTACCCGGCCATTTATACCCATGCTAGTTGGGCATGCAGTGTCTGTACACTACACACCACCGTAAGTGTAGACCTGCCCTTAGGCACCTTTGAAAATCCCATTCTTTGTCTATGGTCAATATCTAGCACTGTTTGGACGCCAGCGGACTAACAACAGCAGAACGTGCCTCAGACAGCTCTTGAACTCCCAGCGTTTAAAGACTACGGTTGGGTCCAACTTGTATGAGGCTTAAATTGGAAGGCCAGTGAACTCCTCCTCCACCTTATGTGCCTGCATAAGCGCAGAGCTCACTCTGGTCCACATGGTTTGTTGCTTATTCACTAGGAGTCTACTCCAAAGCCCATTGAAGCCAATGGGAATCTTTCCATTGGCCAAATTCCATCCCCAAGCGGAGTCCCCCAGTCATTAGCATGAATTAATTAGGTTCTGCTGAACTGCTCTCATTGCAGAAGACCAATGCTCATGGTGCTAAGCTTCCTTGAACCCTACATGACTGATGTCCAAGATCAACCCAGCTCTCTCCAGACACACACCTACATGGTGACATCTCCGAGGTGCTCACGTGGGGGGAGCTGCTGAGTGGCACTTCCTATAGCCCAAGCTTCAACCTACCATGGTTCACCTCCCGCCTGCAGAGCTGAACACAGCTCCCTTCAGAACCTCATTAAAACAGTCACTTTTTGGCCAGCTGGTGCCAAAGTTGCAATGGCCAGACTGTCCTTCCCTAGTCCTGGGAGCAGAGGGTGCCTCTCCTGTAGCTGTCCATGATCTGGCTAACTCAAGGAATGAAATAGTGTAGCATTCTCTAAGGGGAATATTTGTAAAAAGTACTTAACTGAGTAGCCGGAAACCGTTTAATAATAATGCTAGCTAAACACACATCAGTCAACTCCTCACATAAGTGATAGAGGATGGGAGGGTTAACGGCCATTTCATTTTAATAGCCGGCAGCTGCTGTTTTGTGGAAATTACTCACCAGGCCCCACCAGAGTGCATCTGCGTATGTATCAAAGTGCTCATTTTCTCCTTTCTCGGCCAAGTACACCAGGAAAGAGGCCAGAATGAGGCACAGGAAGCCAATATACCAGGCAGTAATCAGCTCCTGCAAGATAGTTAAGGAACAGAATAGAATAATGTGTTTTCATACGATGCATTTCATACGCGGGGTATCCCCGAATGCAGAGCTGGGGTTCAAATCTCAACTTTCCCAAAGTTTGTGGGTGTTCAGCTCTGGGGTTTGGTTTCAAGATTATTATTAGTAGTAGTATTACAGCAGTGTTCAGACACTCCAAATGGGCAGGGCCCCATTGTGCTAGGAGTAGTATATACACAAAAAGTAGAGATAGTCCCTGCCCTGAAGCACTGACCATCTGAATAGATAAGACAAGGTGGGAGACAGGAAGTATTATTATCCCCATTTCAAAGATGAGGAACTGAGACAGAGAGACAGATCCCAAAGGTATTTAGGTGCCTAACTCCAATTGATTTCTAAGTACCTTTGAGGATCTGGGCCAGAGAGACTTGCCCGAGGTCACGTGGAGAGTCTGTGTTAGAGTTGAGAACTGAACCTAGATCTCCTGGGTCCCAGTCCAGTGGTCTAAGCACGTCGGTCTCATGATGGAGACCACCTACAAAGTTTGAATATGAATCTGGATCTTATCCCCAAATTTCAGGGGTGTTTGGACCCCAGGATTTTAGCCTGGGCTTCCCTTTGCTAGAAACTTTATACTAGTGAATTATATACTGAACTGGTAAGATCATGCCTGCTAGGCAGCTGGAGCAGACATTTTAAGTTGAGCAGCAGTAGCCACATAACCTTATTGGAACTTTCATTATTTCCTACTTGTTTAGGAAAAACACCACTACTTGGATAACCATCAGTGTCTGACACAAGAGAGCTGGGTCTAACGAAAGCTGCATAAACAATGGCAATTTTGATTTGTATGGTCTTGGCTTTAGTTCACATAGCTTCGTGTGCACGTTTTCTTTGGTTTGGATTTGGGTGGGGTTACTAACCCTGGAGTTTTGTGTAAAGGTTCACACCCAAGTGAAGCAAATGCACTGGGAAACATCAAGCTTCATTCACCAAAAATTGCACAGATTGGCTTTAAATCTTCTAATGGAACCTGGAGGAAGTTTGTAACACATCAGGAAACTGCTAGGTATTATATTGTATCTGGTTTCCTTGGAAACACTTTGCACAGCTCTAGGTTTAATATTTCACCTGACGGCAAAGCATCTAATGGTGCAGAATCAGAGGATACCACCTCATTTCCCTCTCTTATTTTTCCACTGAAGTAATACAATATCAGAATGATAATATACTTGATCCACACCTAAGGAAAAGGTTTCAATAGCCAAAGTTGCTAAATCAAATATTGAGGTATCTCTTCATCACATTAAACTGCAGATGCAATAGGATGATTCATGCTTTCCCATTTCCCCAGCCTCAGAACCACAAAATGATTCTTTAAGAGTCCTTATTAGTTTGTTGAGACCCACTATATCCACATTTCAGCAAACTGCAGAAGAAAGGTCGCATTAACTACATAGGAAAGTATGGCAGAGGTAAATTATGCATCTTTAAACTGTCACATTCTTGGACAAAGCTAATACAAGAGCAGCTGAAGGAAACCTGGCAGACACTAGTTTTCTGGGATTTTTTACTAAGCTTTTGATAAATTTGCTAAGGCTTTTAAAGAAAAACAACAAATAAACCTCAAGATAAGGGACAAAATATTGTCATAGATTAAGTGATAGGAAACAAAATGCTGTTGTGAATGAATGCTCCTCAAACTGCTGAAAGGTGAATCATTGAATACACTAGGGATCAATTCTGGGCCTGGGACTAGTTAAAACATTCATTAACGATTAGGAGGAGGACATGGTCGAGATGGTGGTATCTGCAAATGGATGACCCCAAGGGGTAATTTTCAGACATGCAGCCTCTCTGAAATACATGCTTTATATAAAGCATTCGAAACATCATCAGCATTTAATCACATATATATTGGCTGCTGCCAGATGCAGTTTAACCAGCCTCCCAGCTCCTTCATGGCTGTGGGTTTGTGCAGGCTAATTACTAACCCACATTGTTTCTGAAAATAGCCACTGGAGCCACCTTCAAGGTACTTCCCACAAATGATAATCACACAGGCATCAAAATTTTAGGAGTTGGGGGGGGAACCAAAGTAGTGTTCATTGTGGGGGGAAACGTGTAATGAGCTGATCGGTCCAGTTGTCCAGGTCTCACTCACCTTGCTGTGGGCATAGACCACAGACCCCAGCAGCTTCCAGGTGCCGCCTCTACGGTCCATTCGTATCATGCGCAATATCTGCAGGAACCGCAAACTCCTGAGAGCCGAGGTGGCAAAGACATTCCCTTGGGATCCCGCTGCCAGAACGGCGATGGAGGCAATCAGCACCATGATGTCTGCAAGGAAGCAGGGCATAAGAGGAAGGATTTCATGGCCTTCACACACCAACCATCACCTCCCCCGGATGGGCTTTTACGAACTGACTCCTCCATCTTTCCTACCTCTGTGGGTGATGAGACATCAGGCTGGCACTACTCTAGGGTGAGCCCTCGCCTTTGGTCCGGAAAGGACCCCTCACACATCACCTCTGTTCTCACCTTCCCTTATTAGCTGGAGTCAGTTTGGTGGAAAGAAATAAAACAGTTTTGGTGCCATCAGCCAGGGTCAGTGGTGACTCTGCTACTGACTGACCATGCCAGTTGAGTGATGGATGCTTCTTCCTCAGGCTAAACCCTACAACAGCATCTTTTATCCACCCAGGCCCCCGAGTCTCAGATACCCCACTTCACTGCTCAGTGCTGGGCAGCCGCGTCCCCCAGCTGGCCTCCTGAACACCTCTCCCTCTTCCACGTCTTTCCTATCCCGGTATTCAGGGCATTACACTGCCCCCATCTCCATGGGATCTGAGCTCCCAACTCTGCAGAGCTGGAGAAAAGAGAACATACCACCTCAAAGATTCCGACACGTATCAACCGCTAGGAAGCCCATTGGGAATAGGGGCAGGTGCGCGTGTGTGTCTGTTATAAAAATGAGCGATGTGTCTGTCACATCTTATGGAGGAAGTACATGGCCACGTACAACTAATATTAACCCACGCTGTGTGATTCACTGCACGGTTTAATGAAATTCACATTCCTCTTCTCCTCACACCTCCTCCACCGGGAGAGAGGTTGCCAAGACTCCAAAGACTGAATTCTGGCTTGATGCACAATGCAGCATTTCTAGCCTGGAATAAGCCTCTCCAACGTGCATCAGCAGAGGTGCACGATTTTCTTTAGCCAGGCAGAGCAGTGTACTGCCGTTTCTAAGGTCTACCTTGACATGGGAGTTCCCACTGCCCGTCGCATTCAGGAAAACCTAAAGGGCTGTTTTAGGAAGGCCTGTTTCTGTCAGTGATGGAGGAAAGGTGGGTGGGTGGGAGAGTACTAAAAGCACCCACCTTTGCTCAAAGCAAAAGCCTAGGTCTCAATACCCCAGGGCTTTCAGGGCTCTGAAAACCATCATTCAGATCGCTACATGAATTTTGTAGATGCCCCTGGTTTTATAATGGGCTAAACCAAAACCCTGCATACAAACATCCCCAGCTCTGTGATGGTCAAATCAGGATCCAGATCCAAATGTGGCAGCTTGAGCCCATCTCTAGAAAGCACTGAGAACAAATGCATCCCTTCTCTCCCTGCCCACCTCTGACCCCTCCTCACCCTGTTCAAAAGAACTGCTTTGCACACAGACAGCCCCTTCCACCACAGGATCTCAAAGAACTTTACAGCCAATAATTAATTAAGGTTTATAACTCCCTTGTGAGGCAGATAATTACTGTAATATCAGTCTTATGGAAAGGCAAATGGAGACACAGAGTGTCTTGTCAGTGAACCAGTGGCAGAGACAGAGACAGAACCCCAGACCCTGGCTCCCATGCCCGTGCCGTTAGACCACTTCTTCTCTCAGAGGAGACACAAAGGGCCTGATTCTGAACTACACTTATATTATTGCATCCTTCTCACACCCATGTTGGCACAGAGGGAAGAAACCAATCTCTTCCATCCCCCTCTGTCTTTAGCTGCTGCTTCCATCTGCTCCAGCGTATTGAGATCAGATGTTCTGCCCTCCCTGCTAAGATTTCTCTCGGGCTCCCTGTTTCCTCACACCAGTTGGTTTTCACTTGACAGCTTCATGGAGGAGTCTGTGCGTCCGGAGTACATGCCCCAGATATGGCCAATGCTTCCTTCTAAGTCTAGTGGAGACCAGCTGCAGGTTGGTGAGTTCTCGGATCTCTTTGTGGGTGGTGAAGTCTCTGCATCCTATGCCCTGAATCTTTCCTAGGCACTTGTTTTCAAAGGGATCTAGGTTTCTAGCTAACATTTTAATAAATCTTCAGCTCTCAGGGCCGTATGTTGGCTCTGAGCTTACGTTGGAGTGGAAAATCCTCCCTTTTGTTTTGGTGCTGTCTAGGTTTGATTTCCATACACTGCTGAGTTATGTAAATGCTGTGGATGCCTTTCTTATCCTTGATGTCACTTCTTTCTTGAGGTTTCCGTTGGCTAGTATGGTGCTGCCCAGATAACTGAGCTGTTCTACTTCCTGGATCTTTTTGCCCTCGGATACGATGTTACTGCTTGACGTCTGGGTTTCAAAGATATTTGTTTTGGTGTAACTGATTTTGAGCCCGGCTTGGCCTGCTGTTTTTGCTAAGGATTCTATCTCTGTAGCTTTTGGGGGGTATTGCTCAAGCGCGTGACATCAACAGCAAAGCCGAGATCGTCTAGGTGTTTGCCATCTACCCGTGCTATGTCAGTGTTTGTGCTGCTTATACAATTCTTCATTATCTAGTCCAAGGCTGAGGGGGAGGGATAGCTCAGTGGTTTGAGCATTGGCCTGCTAAACTCAGGGTTATGAGTTCAATCCTTGAGGGGGCCACTTAGGGATCTGGGGCAAAATCAGTACTTGGTCCTGCTAGTGAAGGCAGGGGGTTGGACTCAATGACCTTTCAAGGTCCCTTCCAGTTCTAGGAGATAGGATATGTCCATTTATTTAAAGGCAATGCCAAACAACAGCGGAGATCGAAGGCAGCCCTGTTTCACGCCAGCATCCACACTGAACCACGGTTATCTGGTCGTCCACCTTTCCAGTGCTCTTTGTATTGATGATGTTGATGACTTCAGCTGGAATTCTGTAAGACTGAAGAACATTGCACAACGTCTGCCTATGCAGGCTGTCAAATGCCTTTTGAAAGTCAATGGCATTGATAATACGTTCTAAGCATTGCTCTATGATGGCCCTTAATGTGGATATCTGATCTACCCAGGATCATTTGGGCCTGAATCCAGCCTCCTCTTCCCTAAGCTTTGCATCCACTGCCTCTTTCATCCTGTATAGCATCTTACTACAGAGGACATGAGGGGTCAGCAGCATTCTCTGCTGAGCAGCCACCGTTACTGGAATGGCAGCCTGGTTTTGTTTCTATAACCATGGAGTTTGGGCTTGGTTGGTTTGTTTGTTTTTTATGAGGCTGGGTGATTGGCCTTGCACTCAACTCTCCCCTGCTTTATCTGGGCATGGGAGCGGCAGCCACATCAAAGTGCACTTTATGCCATTCTGAGGCTGCTCTAACTTTATCCGGGACTGGGCAGGGCCCTGCACAGGTCCAGAACATGAAGAACTCAAAGGTGGGTTGCAACCACCTTTGTCCCCTCTTCCATCCCTGCTCCAAGCATGGGAATGCAGTAGCTCAGAATCAGGCCCAGACATACAATAAGCCCGAATACTCCATGGTGGACTCACTGTCCCCTAGCTCCCTGTAGGACCTGTACACCAATACTATACATTCCTCCCAGGGAGGCCTTGGGCCCACTAAGCAAACCAGACAGCTCCCCTTGACCCTGGCGGAGGGACTGGCAGAGCTCACATGCCTGGCTGAAAAGTCAGTTGCCTGTTCTGATAACATTTATACGTTCTCCCAAAGAACAGCAAATTCAGCGGTCATCCTGAGCATGACCCACGTGGCCCTTATCCCATTCGTCGTGCACTCTCAGCAGTAGCTGCTGGGCGGCAGTTCTTACCAATGACGCAGAAGGGTTTGCGGGCAAATTTTAACCTTCCCCTCCAGCCCCGGTATCGACAGCAGCAACCGGCAGCCCAGATTCTCACAAAGTATTCCACACCAAACACCACGATGGTGACTATTTCCTGCAGGGGAGACAATGCAATTAGGCCAAGAAGAAGGCGCAGGGAAGAAAGTGTTGCAGATTCAATGCAGAGGGCTGAAACAGCGTCTACTAATAAAGCTCATTTTGTTCCTCACTGTTACAGTCCTTTCAGAGGAGAATTGTGACTCTGACCAAAAAATGGAATCAAGCCACAAAACTGGGATCTGGATCTTGAGTTCTAACAGTTCCAAAGAGATGAGATTGTGATGCACGATAAAGATAGAGACTAATTGCTAGAGTCAGGTCAAGATCCAGATTCAGCTTTCAAATTCCTCCAAAATTTGGGGGGAGGGGTTGTTATTTAGCACGGGACGCTGTGGTTCAGGTCCATCCCTATTTTGAAACCTTCTCCCTCATTTCAAAGTTGATCTTTCTCTTGGCAAGACAGTTTTGGCTCTGTAGGGAGACAAAAGTTTAGCTCTGTCACAGAACTGGCGGTTTCCTATTTTTGTCCCTATTGATGGACTTCAGGACCCGAGGGAGGTGGTGGAGGAAAGAGAATTATCAGCTGGATTCTTAAGAGCTCAATCCATTGGGCAGTGAGCAATTCTGAAAAATCTGGGGACAAGGGTCACAATGGGAGCAGCTGGAAGGTGAGCACCTTACGTCCTTAGTTCGGTGTCTAAGTGGGAGCTGAGATCTTCTGAAAATCTGGCCCAACTGTCAGTGCTGAGCAAGTCTCGTCCTAAGCCCCTTGGAAAGTCTGGGCCTGTGTTCTTCTGTGTCTAAATATATTTATATCGGTTTCTGAACTCTAATGGGTTAACCCAAACTACCTAAAAATCCACACCCGTCTTGACTGAGTTCCTACCCTGTTCCAACAGCCTTCTGCCTCGCCAGCTGAGACACTTCACTATTGACCTGCCGTTTGTACCGACACGCAGTTGCTTTTCTCCCCACAAACAGAGATACCGAGGAAATGAGCCCACCGTGCTGCAAAGCTCCGCTCCCTGTCAGTATGTTACATTCTCTCTGATTTCTTCACTCACGGTGTTCACCTCACGTGGGCTGATGCTGAGTCGTACAGGGCTCTCATTAAGCTTTCACTAACTTCTGGTATCTGGTTGATGTGCGGAGTGGGAGTGGAGGAAGGGAAAGGCAAAGACAGGGAGATGCGATGAATTCTGGGTGCCCTATGAAGTAAGCATCTGTGCCGACAGGAATTCTGCTAGCTATCACTCAGCACGTTACCGGAAGCCAAATTGTCAGTGTAAGGCATGCCAAGCTGTTTAAGTAGTAAAACCATTCGGCTTTATGTCAGCTCAGATAAATGCAGAACTGTATAGCATGGGGAACAGAGGCTACCACCTAGGCTTATTCTGCTGTGGTACAATGTCAGCTTAGCCATTTAGGGCCACACTTTTAAACGGGCATCAAACCAGCTTCTAAATGCGGGCCCACCATGCTGCAGGATTTTGCAATCGCAGAGAAACACACACGCTCACAAATTGAACATGCACCAGTTCGGGTTTTTTAAGTCATCCTTGAGACTGTGAGCCACATTCTTTCCTTGTATACACTGGGGCAAATCCAGATCACTTCGGATTTACACTCAGTGTAACTAATAATTGATTTCGGCCCTGTGAGTGCTGGCTAAATGCCGTGCTATTGTTACCCAGACCTAACACAGAGACAAGAAAAATTAAAGATGATTCAAAATGAACCAGGTGGCACCAGAAGCTAATACACCAGCTTAGATTTTGAGTCATATTTGTCTTTCACCTTAAGAGAAAGTGGTTATTGCTGGATCTTCAGGATTTTTACAGGTTAATACAAACACTCCCCATTCCTTCCAAGGGTTCTTACTCTTAGGTGTTTGCTTTTAAAGATTTACATGGCTTTGGGTTGGAAGGCATGTCAAATCCAGACAAATGTTTGCATAGAGAGAAAATACTTATCCCTCACTTAGAAGGCTGAATCTTTCCATGCCCCAGTGATGTCTCAGCCAGTTCTCAGACATAGCCTCTGCCCCATCCATCCTGAACACCGCAGCTCAAATGCTTGCCATGTTTGAAAAGCCCAATATTGTTTGTTTCTTGCTCATGCTCTGTCTTATGTTTGCAACTCCCAACTTACCAGTATGTAGAGGGCCCCTTCAGAGCTGTCCTGATACTCATCGATGGTTGAAAAGACGGATAGTACCAGGCAGGAGAAAACTAGGAGAAACCTGGATGACACAAAGAAAAGGAGAGAAAAAATAATGCCAATCTTCAGAGTAGTTCATCGAGCTATTTAACCTATATCACATTTTGAAACATTCCACACAATGCTATTTTAACAGCACTGTCACTCTTTATAAAAGTGGTCTCTAACAGATCGTCAGTGGAATATTTGACCTGTGCTCCCCAGGTATTCTAAAATCGATAAGTCACTGATGAAATCCCGTAGTTTGTTGCAAGCGTGCAAACTGAGCAGAATGTGGCTCCACAAAATATGATCAGAGTTCTCATTTAACAGCTATTAGAAAAGTGTATGCACTGGGTCATTTCCCAATTACTTCACTTTACTTGACCAAATGAAATTGTTGCAAGTTTTGATAGCAACTGCATGGAAACTAACTGTGAAATGAGTGCATATCACCACTGTAGATGCCAGGCAAATATATTTCCATATATATTCCCATAGTCATTATGTACTCCTGCACAATTTCTCCGTTATTATAGTACTCACAAATCAATTCAAAATCTCTGCCATGTCACAGTTTAGGAAACAAACAAAAAAATGACCTCTGATTAACCTCTGATTAATTTTTTCAGGCCAAATAGGCCTGTGCAGAAGGGCAAATTTGGCTCTTAAAATTCAATACTGTTCTCAGGTATGCCAGTATAGACCCAGTTTCATCCCACTGAAGTGAACGGAGTAACTCCAGAGTCACACCCGCCTCAATGAGAGCAGACTATGGACCTCAACCTATCCCTGAGTAGCTCAGTATTTACAGCATGGGGAGAACAGGTTTGGGTGGGACTGGAGAATGAACAGTCAAAATTTGCACTTATCCCTTGAACTGAATTCAAACCTTTTCCCCCATGTTTGAACAGCAGCCAAAAGCAAACAAATGTTAGAATGCACAAAATACTACTGAAAATATTATGATGCCATTACATAATTCAATCGTACACCCTCAGCGAGAATACTGTGTTCAGGGGCACCCCATTCCAAAATAGGTACAGCAGAAACGGCATGAAAAGATTTCCAGTGACTGGAAAAGATTAGGGCTGCTTAGTTTAGAGAGGAGGCTAATGAGGGATGACATGATAAAGGTATATGATATAAACACTCTAGAGAAGGTAAATCCGGTGTTCCTATTTACCCTTTTCCAGGTCACCAGTAGAAGTGGATATGCAATTAAACTGAATTGCAACAAATTTAAAATTGATAGAGATTATTATTAGTATGATGCAAATTTAACCTGTGGAATTCACTGCCACATGATATTACCGAGGCCAGCAGCTTTACAGGATTCAAATAAACATTAGATTTGTACATGGAAAAATGGGAGCATACATTTAAATTAGGATAAAAAATATAAGGGATATCAATCCTCACGGATCAGGGCATAAGCAAATCAGTAAGTGATGAGAGTCACAAAGAAATTTCCCTAGGACAAGTTATCTTATAGTTGGTCCATTACTCTGGATTCTGAAACATCTGGTCTTGGCCACCATCAGAGACAGACTATTCTATCTATCTGTCTTAGGGTTCTCTACTGCTAATAGTATCTGAGCGCCTGACTTATGAGGAGAGGCTGAGGGAACTGGGATTGTTTAGTCTCCAGAAGAGAAGAATGAGGGGGGATTTGATAGCAGCCTTCAACTACTTGAAGGGGGGTTCCAAAGAGGATGGAACTCGGCTGTTCTCAATGGTGGCAGATGACAGAACAAGGAGCAATGGTCTCAAGTTGCAGTGGGGGAGGTCTAGGTTGGATATTAGGAAACACTATTTCACTAGGAGGGTGGTGAAGCACTGGAATGCGTTCCCTAGGGAGGTGGTGGAGTCTCCTTCCTTGGAGGTTTTTAAGGCCCGGCTTGACAAAGCCCTGGCTGGGATGATTTAGTTGGGAATTGGTCCTGCTTTGAGCAGGGGGTTGGACTAGATGACCTCCTGAGGTCCCTTCCAACCCTGATATTCTATGATTCTATGATTCTATTATTAAGGCTGAATATTGGATTCCATGTTCACTGCTCTGATATGGGATGGCAGTTCCTGTGTTCCTATGGTGGAAAAAGATCCAGCCTTCCTCTTTGCCAAAATAGATGCCTCTCCTTCTTCGCAGCCTTCCAGTAACATTAAAGGGAACCATGTGGCTAAATCCTTGCATCTCGCACTGAATATTTAACGCTGAATCTTACTTTAGCGCACGTCTCTGTCCTGTTTGCTTTACACTGGGGAGTGAACTTTCTCTCTGTGAAAATGAAGAATTAATCTCGCTGTCTGGCAGCAGGCTTGGTGCCATGCCTCGGGGAGAAGGGCGAGGAGAAAAGTACTAGGCTAATGATGGAGAAACCTTACCCTAGAGGTGTCACAATTCATTAACCCCACTGATACAGCCCCACAAACCCCAGGGAAACTAAAAGGATGGGAGAATTAAAAGGCCAAAGGTACTGGGAGACTATGGGGCAAAACACACACTCCACTTTCAGGCTAAAACATTAGCAAGCCACTAATAATTCGAAGACGTTTAATGGCAACCTCATGCTTTGTACGGCCCATACATGTTGGTAAGTCAGCACTAATGTAGAAATTACAAATACCCGCCAGCCTTTTGAAGAGATCATTTCACCATAATCCAATTCCCATATGCCCGGCCCTTTTGACTTTCCCTACGGCCATTCTCTCCTCTATGCAATCCCTAAAGGATGGCAAACATGCCGCATGCAAATCACCAGCCACAACAGAGCAGGTAGAAATATTCTGCATCTTACGGCAGCAGCTAATTCCAACAGAGCTATCAATAGGCTAACTCCTCATCAGGGCACAGGAGGTCTTTTTTAGGTCACTGTCCTTTTTTTGTTTGCAAATTCTATTTGGCCTGTAGGCACTGTACTATAACTGGATAATGTATAATATATATTAGCTATCTACAGAAACTACTGATATTATTGTGATTTATGTGTATTGCAACAGCGCCTAGGAACGCCAATCTCAGAGCAATGCCCCATTGTGCTAAGTGAAGGTGCTGTACAGACATGTTTCAAGGAAGACAGACCTTACCCTGGCCAGCTCACAGTCTAAATGACAGACTGGATTCAACATGTGGAAGAAACAGACAAGCTGAGTGGGGGGAATATAAGGTGACAATAAAAATAATTTATCAGAAAAGATACCCCCTGGTGCCTTTTTATATAGAAACTAGAAGTGAAAAACTAGGGTGAAAATACACCATTCAAAATAATGTCAAGAGGGTTTTTTTAAAATGGTGAGGAATAGTTAATAAGAATATGACTCAGTAGAGTACAGCATCTTTCTCTGAAAGAGCTTAACACATTTTACAAACATTCATGAATTAATCCTCCGTGTGAGAGAAGGGTAGTGTTATTGCCAGTGTTCATGGGGTAAACTGAGGCACAAAGGAGTTATATCAGCAGTTCTCAAACAGGGGGTCAGGACCCCTCAGGGGGTCGCAAGGTTATTACATGGGGGGTTGCGAGCTGTCAGCCTTCACCCCAAACCCTGCTTTGCATCCAACATTTATAATGGGGTTAAATATATAAAAATGTATTTTTAATTTATATGGGGGGGTTGCACTCAGAGGCTTGCTATGTGAAAGGGGTCACCAGAACAAAAGTTTGAGAACTACTGAGTTGTATGATTGTCACATATCAACATCACTAGTGATACTACCCAGGAGTCCTGCATCAAAATCCAAGTCTGTAACTACTAGACACCATTTTCCCCTATAACATTAATTGAATATCTAGGTTTATCCACAAAAACTAAGGACGACTACTCTGTATTTGTACAGTACCTAATCTGGTGCCATTCTTGGTTGGCCCTTAGCCACTACCATAATAAACATGATTAATTAATTAACAAGTGTAAAAATAGCACTTTGGGCAAAGCCTACAAATGCTAAAACCCAGGGCAAAACTCCCATTTACTTCAATGAGATCTGGATTTGGGCTTTTGATACTCAATTAGCCTAGTCAGAGAGATCTAGCGGGATTGTGGAATGTTCAAGGGATGAGGTTAAGAAGCTGCAGATATGGTGCTGTCAATAAAGCAGTCTCATGAGTCCTCCTCCCCATCTCACACGCGCTGCAAATGAACGGAGGATCTTCGTCATCCCTCCTGGAGAATGCAAAGATCAATAGGCCAAATGGAGGATCACAGCTGATGACGTCTTAGCTGGAGAAGACGGCTGCTATGTTTTCATTTGCACTGTGAAAGTGAGGGGCTGACTGCACTGGCTTTAGCAAGGCATATTACCAGCAGGTTGTATTAGCTTTCTCCACAGTGCTGACCAAAACTCTCAGTCCTGACCTAGAACACAACCTGTTTAACCCAGTCCTACGCCTCCCCTGAGTAAAGCACGCTGGCTGTGCATAACTGAATAGCGGAGCGCCAACCACTAGAGGCAGGGACAAGAACACCAGTAAACTCATCCCTGGGGTAACCTCCTTGACTTCACTGGCCTACTTGCTTTTTAAACGTGTTCAGAATGTGGGTGCAGATCTCTCCGTTCAGAGGCTCAGTGGACCAGCCCTGTGCACCGCTTCATCCACCATCTCTGTTGCGTTCCATGAAAATTATGGGTGAGGTTTTCAAAAGCACCTAAATGATTTAAGAGAGTATGGATGGCCCAGTAGTTGGGGCACTAGCCTATGTCTTGAGAGACCTGGGTTTTAGTCCCTGCTCTGCCACAGACTTCCTGTGTGACCTTGACTAAGTCCCTTAGCCTTTCTGTGCCTCAGTTCCCCATCTGGAAAATGGGGGCAATCGCATTGCTCTGCATCCCAGGGGCATCATGTGCATCAATACATTAAAGACTGTGAGGGGCTCTGGTGACGGGGGCCAAGTGACTACCTGAAGTCGACAGTCATCCCATTGGCTTTCACTGGGACTCGTGTTCTTAATGCAATTAAGCACTTCTGAAAATCCTGCCGCACCTGGATTCTCTGAGATGGGTGGTACTGAGATAAGGAGCATTTTACCACTCAGCCTCCAGTTTAGATCCAGCCCACAGCAGCGAGAAGTATTATCAAGTGAGTAGTATTATCATCCAGTGGCTCTTTGGTGGCCTAGGGGAAACAAGGTGGTCTCCGTCTAATCCCTAGTGGTCAAACACCTACAAATCCAAAATCTACTCTTAAGATTGGCATCCTCACGCGCACTCTCAGCAGAGAAAAGCCAGGGACTAACAGGGCCCTGGTTCCAGCAATTTTGTCACCCACGGATCCGTGGCTAAAGGCAGGACTTCAGTCTCCAAGGCTTTCTGTTTTGTACTTTTTTCAAGTACTAGATGCACTAAAACCAATTAAAAGACAGAAAGAGAATGACCCTGACTCTATTGCCTGAGGACATAATGAAATCTCAGGCTATTTGGAAGCCTGGGACGCCTTGTTAAGAAGATATCTGGCATCAAATCCCGAACCAAGCAGGTATCAGTCAGTCAGCAGCAACAAGAACTGGCTCAAACAAGATGAGTGAAATTAATTTACTAACAATATATTTAAAATACACTAAAGGACGCCAGCTCGGAGATAAACTACAAGCCTGCACTTTGTAAAAACATTCAATAATTCATCCCGCTGGCTCCGCTTGATGCCGTTGCAAATTGAATTTTGACTATTTCTAAGATTATGTTCGTTTGGGGGTTAGCGTTAGCTTCTGCTACAAATAAACTGTGTTTTGTTCCACAGAACTCAGACAATGCCACAGATCTCTAGCCTCACACTGGCCATAAACAGGACAGCAAAAAGTCCAGGTGGGGTGGAATTACGGTATTTATTTGAACCCTGGTATACGATGAAAACTTGCTGCCTCCTGTAGGGTGACAGACGTCCAGAGAAACCTCAATAATGCTGCATTTTTGTGAACACCGGCCCTACCCCAGCAGATGTCATGCAGTGACTGTGAAAACACGGACAGGATCCAATATATGCTTGTTCACTGTGGAATCCTTTTTCTGACATCACGTTCAGCGCACAAAGGCTGAGGACAATGAGGGTGAGTAACTGAATAGCCATTCTATCCTTATAGGCTAGAGCTTTTGTACATCTCCCATATGGCCCCCAGTGGCCTGTCTAAACAGTGGCTCTAGACAACCACAGCTATCATGTCTATCAGGGATGGTCTAGACAGTATTTGGTCCTGCCATGCGGGCAGGGGACTGGACTCGATGACCTCTCGAGGTCCCTTCCAGTCCTAGAATCTATGAATCTATGAATCTAACACACCTGTGACTTCCATATCACTCAGTGGGAGCTTCAGGTTTGCAGCCCCTCTCAGGGTCTGATCCCAAGTATTTCCTCCTAGTTTATGTATCTTTGGGAATGCTGAGCTCAGTCACAAGTGAAATTAATGAAGGTTCCATCTTAGCGCCTGTCCCCATCGCAAAAGCACCATGCCACTAAGTACAGCTGGGAGATGGTGCGGCAGATCAGGAAGGAAGCCCCAGCCTCTAGTCCTAGTGCTCTGAGCAGCAAGGGCGTGCTTAACCACAACCTCTGCTTGGGTGGAGAGTGGCGTTTAAGGCAAGAACCTTTAGGGCCAAAAGCATGAGCCTCCGTCACTTGAGCTAAAGAACTAAAACCATTCGCTGGAAACATCAAACAATCCTGTCGACACAGGGACCGGCCTCTGGAGCGGGGGAAGATCCAAACCCACACCTTATATTTCTAGGAACTCCGCTTATCTTTGCTGCTAGCTCTGGCAGATGGGCACAGCCAAGCATGGGCTCCCCGCGATGGAGGCAGATGCAGATAACCAATCAAATAAATCAGACAGGAAGATGAGAGCTTCTTATAGACATGCATGTTCACCAGACTATCCAAAGGCCTGGGCTGCAGAACTCAGGGTGTCTGTATGAGGACGAGCCAGCCCCCGTGTCTCTCTTCCCGGGTAGCCTCTTTAACCCTAACTAACCATTGTGACTCATCCTTTGGGCTACCCACGGCTACAGCACAGAAGGGAGTCCTCCAGGCACCAAGAAAGCAGTGTTCTTGGCCAATAACATACGAGCCTCATGGGAAGTTGATGGGGTCCGGTCACAGGATTCATCTCCACAGTGAATCAACCCAGGCAGGTAGGCAGCTGTGCACTGAGGCCATCCCTCTCTTTCTACAGTGGAGAGAGGGTGGGAGGCTCTGATTGGGTGTCCGGGGGACCTGTCTGAGAGCTCCTTCCCCCCACTGTCTCCTGCCCAATTCCCATCTCTCTCTCCTCTTCTGGATCAGCATATTTTGGGCAGGAGCTGGGGTGGAGATGAGGCTTAGGACCCTCACCCCGCTGAGCAAGCTGCATTGCTCTAAGGTAGCCGGCTGGTCCCTTTCCTAAATGGAGCTGTAGAGCAGGCTTGCATGGGAAGGTTGGCTAGAGTTCCGCCCAACAGGCCCAGTGGGATCGACAATCAAACCTGTCATCTCCACTGAACACACTCCACATGGCCAGGACAGGAGCACGAGGTGTTTAGCCACTGCCGCTACAAACACAAATGGTGTAAGAATCAGTCCGGAAGATACCCACCGAGGAATGGGGACAATGGAAGGAGCACTAGGCGCTATGCTTTCCCCGTCCAGTAGGAGCGTACAGATGCCCTTTAGCCGCACATGAAACGTTCCAGCCACTGGTGAGCCCAGGGTAGGACATCGCTGTGGAGAGAGACCTGCTCCCCGGAGGGACTTGCTGCTGTCCTTCGCTACAGCTGCCAAACCCAATCCAGAATCCTTTGCCCCTCTGTATTTTACAGTGCATCCTCCACAGAAGAGGCCACTGATTTGCAGCAGAGGTCGCCACAGTTTTACTGGGGGACCATATATGAGTTAGCCACCCCTCCAGCGTGCTGAACGGTACCTGGTACAGCACTCAGCTCCACAACCCAGTCTCTCCATAGCCAGTCTAGCAGGCAGCCACCTGAGTCCACTTGCTCTTGATTTCCCCCCCCTTGCTGAGACAGCCCCATGACAAAGCAGAAATAACGGAGCAACGCAGCCTATAAGGGAGTGTGGGAAGGGAACCACAATGGGCTGAGAGACAAAGAGCAAGTGGCCTGTGGCTGCATGATGCGTCAGCAGGAGGGAAGCTGAGAGGAGCAGCAATCCTCAAGTAGCCGCAGCTCCGAATTGCAATCAATAGATGTGGTGCTACTCACGTGCCAAAGAAGTTTGACACTTTGGATCTCAGAGTCTCAGCATTTGGAAACAAGGCTCCAGTCCCCAGGTTGCCAAACTCAAGCAGCTTCTGGTTAGTCTCCCGTGCCTTGCCAGGTGTGCCATCAGTGACAGGTGTGCAAAGTGGGTGTAAAATGCTCCCACTCTGATTTAGCAGGATCGGGCCCAGTGTGTCCCTAAGATGTTTTCTCTTCCGCAGTGGATATTGATTCCTGGATCAGCTCACCGTTGTTGAGATGAACTGCTCTGGCCTCAAGTGACTCACCCGGCTGCACAAATGCTCCTAGAGTAAAATTGTTTCCTGACTGCACAAAGCCAGGTTATCCCCGGTTCGTGCAAGGAACTCCGCAGGAGTAGGGATATGCGACTGGCACATCTCCAACTCACAGGAAAGGAATCGGAGTACAGGACAGCCCCTCCGTGGCTACTGCCTCTCCACTAACCCCTACGTAATGTATTGGGGCCACTGGAATATCCCCTGACCTGCCCAGGGTCCACCCCAACTGACCTGTACATCCCTGCCTATCCAGGGATGCTCAAAGCCCTGCTTCATGCCTTAAGTGGGGCTTAAGGGGTATGAAAGGCTTTGTATGGGTGCTCCATTCTCTCCCTTTGAGACTAGCTGCTAGATAGAAAGAAGAGCTCAGTGGAGGAGAAATGAAGGTGCAAACATACAAACAGGCCAGGACTTCAATGCTAAGGACAACGCTCAGAGGAAAGGCTGTATTACCGTTCAGAGTCAGGAGCCAGGGGCCGGTAGTTGCTGGTGGCGGATTTCATCTTCACCCAAAGCTTAAAGTAGAAATACTGCAGAGCTGGGAAGCAACACAGGGTACCGTATGAGGGACAGCGCCGCAGGACAGTTTCTGAGTTAAAGGGACATTGGCAAGATAGGCCTGAATTGGACACCCCAACTTCACTTTGGTTTTCAGGAACACAATTCGCGTAACCCCAGTGCATTCCCCGTGCCCAAAGATGGGGCAAACCGGCAGAGTGAAGGGGTGACGCGTAACAAGCACGCACTGAACTGGAGAGGGACTTAGGACCCTGGGCGAGTCAGTTGGATTTTAACTTTTGCAGCAATCTAATTCCAGTCACTGTACCAGTTCCATTAAGGGCACTGGAAACAAGCAGCCCCATGAAACTCCGGGTACAAGAGACACCGGCAGGCTCATTTGTCTCAAAAAAAAAAAAAAAAGTCCTACCGAAACTCACTATTCATTGTAAGTCTTTGTAAAGTATCCAACAGATGGTGCTCGTTGGCACTGACTACGGCTTCCGTTATGAACCACATGGAGCCAGAGCTGTCACTCTGATATCCCTTCCTTAGCTGTTAACCACCGGTGTTGGCCCCTGGCCCTGCTCCAAATAAGGGTAGGAAATCAGTCAGATTTCCCCACCCCTCCGTAAGCAGCCTGGGCAAATGACACTTCACTGGACAAGCAAACAAAGCTCCGAGCGTACACAGGAATGCATTGCCCAAGTGAGGAGGGAGCGTCCAGAGGACCATGACCCAACACCTGGCTTTAAAAAAGCAGGTGAGATGAACACACTCCAAGTGACATTCCGTATCCTGATGCACGTCACATCTGACCTTGGCTATGAAGCTTGGGGGCTTGCAACAAGTGAAACTCCTCAGGCCCCAGGAGGTCTTTTCATCCCTAAGTCCTAACCATGTCCTGAGAAGTGCTTTTAATGAAGATGTATGGGCCCCTAAACGGAGCTCCCATAGAATCGACCCCGGCCTGCAGCCCTTCTGGAGACCCAGGTCTGATGCCTTTTCTTGGCTTCTTCTATCCCCAACCAGCTGAGGTCAGGAGCACAGCAGAGGGAGCCGTCTCAGCGCTGGCAGAAGCATTGTCAAAGAGAGTTGCCCAGCACTGATTCTTTAGAGGTTGATTAAGGAGTAGATGCACGGTCAGGCTACGGGGAAGAGCTGTCCAATCCTCCCATGCCAGATAAACTCCACGATCGTTTCCCCCCCCCCCTAAACTTGCCATGGAGCCGATCCAAGGGCAGAGCCCGAGTAATTCCTCAGCAGGTAATCGCTTCCTGCAATACTCGAGCTATTTCAGAAGATTTGGAGTCTGCCGGGAGATTTACAGCTATTCATCCCATTTACATGGATCGACCCCCTTGAAGTGACAGATTGTATCAGAGAAGCCAACCAAGCATTACCAAGTCTGGGTCAGCCAACCCTATTCATGGCCTGGCCTAGATTTTGCTGCGAAGACCTACTTTGGAGTGAGAAAGAAAGAAAGACAGAACTAACTTACAGGGTCTGGTTAGTGAACAAGGAGGCGGGTTACATTTTTGATAGTTTTATCGATAACAGGCTCTTAAACGTCTCAGCAATAAGTGCTGATACGAACACACACGCAAACCATTTCGCCCACCTAAGGCAGCCACCTCTGATGGACCTAGGAACATGGCAGCTGTTTAACGACAAGCCCCAGGGAGAAAAGCATGCTGTGGCCCATTGAAATAGCATTTTGTAAGTTATATTTGTCATTTGCCATTGTTCCCTACTAGGCATGGAAAAAAGAAAGAACTGTACAGTATCTGTACAAGTACCGAGGGCCTGAGTTGAAAATATAATTGTGTGTGTGCAATTACTGGGCAGGAGGCACAGGGAAGACACAGACCCCGTGTACAGAAATGACTAGTGATCTTTCCTTTGCGCATGCAAAGTGGGTGTGCAAATGAGGTGCCCTGCAGTATGGGGGGTTGCTGAGTGCTGCTGATGGTGCAGCAGGCTGGGTGAGGGCTGCTGCCGTGGGACACTGGTACTGAAGGGTGCTGGGGCTGGGTGAGGCTGGTGCAGAAGGCGATGCTGGGTAAAGAAGGCTCCTTTTCCTCCATCCCCTCCCCCGCCACTCAGCCTCTTGAAGAGGTGCTGAGCATGGCATGAGTGTGAGGAACTGCAGCAGAGCATGATTAGGGTAGAAGTGAGGCACGGCATGAGAGGAGCAGGAGGAAGAGGGAGGGGAGGGAGCAAGTAGTTTCTTTCATCCCCTTCACTGAGGCCTCCTGAGACCTTCCCTCCATGGGAGTTTGATGCTTTTTTTTTTTCTTTTCTCCACCCATGGGGTGCTGCAAACCAGCCCAGCCCCTGTGCATCCGGCCCCAGAGTGGAGATGTCTCAGGCCCATCTTTCCCTTTGGATGCCTGGGTCTAGAATGCAGCATGCATTCCTTTACAAGACAAAAGGCAATTTTCCCGTATGCAGAACTGCTGCCTTTCCCACCGGTCCCCAGCTGCCAGCTGCGTCTCTGACATCCGAAGACGAGAGTGAGATGGGAGCAGTGACATGTGATTACTCTGCTCACTGCCAGTGAACAGTCTCCTTAGTGTTATAATTGATGCGAGCTATAGACACAGGTGCTTGCTGGTAAGCGTTCCCCTGGGCTCTGGTTGCCATGGAGCCCAATTAAGAACTGATGCCAATGACACTGCCAGGTCCAACATTAATTACAGCGTCGCCACGTCTCTGCACTGTGTGGGAGGCTGCGGGAAAGACACTGGCAGTCTGATGGCCAGGCTACTGGGAAGGTGCTACTTCCTGCTCTCAGCTCCATCGGTTCTATTCATCGCTGAAGTTCCACAAGCAAAATCCCCTCGCGTGGACAAGAAACCATAAACCCCAGAAATACAGGGTCCACCGGGAACCAGAGCAAGACATGGTACCTCGTGATTGGTACAATTGTTAGCAGCAAGGCTGAATAGTTGTGCCATCAAGGAAATGGCTTTCTTTCTTTCTTTCTTTCTTTCTTTCTTCTTTGGCTGTAACAGAAAGAGCTGGCCCTTTAAAGGCAAAGTGCCACCATCTCCTCCATTAAAGGGTCTTTTAAGGGATTCTGAGAGCATGATGACTGAGAGACAGGCCTGCTGGGATACAAAAGAGGCCGCCTTTCTCTCAGGGAGAGTGTCTCTCCGATGGGACCATAAAGAGCTGGCGGAAGAGGGGCTACAACCAGAAACTGGTGAGCAGCACAAGGGCAGCCTGAAAGGGGCAATGCAGACCCTCTGCAAACCGTAGGGCTGCGGGAAGGAGGGTTATTTGCAACCCCTAGGGAGAGAGTGGTGAGTGGAACGACGACTACGCCCTGTAGGGGTAGGAAATGCTAGAATGCCTGTGCAGCCTTAATTCAACCCTCTTTACTATCCACCCTTCAATTCCATAATCTCCTTTTTTTCCCACAGGACCCCTGCCTCATTCAGTGCACAGGCTGGCCCTGCTCTGGGGATGGCTCAGGGCTGTGTAGTGAAGGAGAGTGTTGTCTGTAGGACCCCTCTCTTATTTGCTATCGAAGTTTTGTAGTGGGAAGGCAGGGGAATGCAGGAAGAGAAAGGACGGTCGCATGGTTAAGGCAAACCGATTGCCACCCCGGAGGACTGGATTCTACCCCTGTCTCTGCTACAGAGTTCCTCCCTGATATGCTGAGCAAGCCACTCAAGTCAAACTTTTCACGGGTGCCTCCATTTTCCGGGGGCCCAGCTTGAGGGGCTTGGGATCTGATTTGTAGAGGCTCTGGCCACTCACAGCTACAGCTACATTCAATACAGTATTAATAAGCACCAAAACACAGCACTGTCTGCCTAAGAGAATGGCAACGAACGGGTGGCCTGACTCTCCAAAAGCAATGCTGTAATATAAAATAGCCCTCAAAGTACCATCCTAGTCTAGGGCTTCTAAGCATTATCACTGCACAATTAATAATAATAGAATCCTTACTGGATTTAACAGGCAACCAGCCTAGTATAACTTAACCGCCATGGAATGATGCTGATTTCACCAGACGGAGAATAGAAAGTGCCTCCCCAATATGGTAGAGGGGAGAAACAGCTCTTAGGAGGACTCCATTTCTAAGCATTAAGATGGGGTCTGTTCCCACGCCACTCACACAGATGGAAAATCTGGAGAACCAGAATTTTTGAGCCTAGTTTAATTTTGCCTAATCCACCATAACAATACAGGAAAGGGCTAAGGACAGAAATGGATAGCTGGGGAAAGGGAAATGAACCAGCAAAGGGTGTGGAGGTTGGAATGAAATCTAATTTTTAAAGCAATACATTGAATCAGAGCCAATTATCTCTGCAGCCCTGACTCTGGGTAACGTTAACATGCAATAAGGAATGTTCATGTGAAATTCATTGGCGGGGGCCTCATTAAAGGTGCCAGTTCTGGTTACAACCACGGCGAAGACAGTAGCCTGCTCCAGAACAGGGGTTGCGAGGCCCTGCAGGATGTTATCAATGGAGGTAGCAGTATTGGCTGGCTCTCATGTGCAGAGCTGAATATTTATCAACTGGGCTATATAAGAGAGAGGTATTTATTATTTATTATTATTATTATTATTAATTATTACTACTTGTAGAAATAAAGCTGCTGGTAGGATGCAAAGCTCAGATCTGGTGAAACTTTCTGAAGAGCAGGGGTACTCAGATATGGGGTCATGGTTTTGAACCTATTTTTAAGGCAAGCATGGACCAGCGGGTTAGAGCACTGGCCTGGAAGTAAGGAGATCTGGGTTCCATTGCTGGCTCTTCTGTGTAACACTGAGCAAACTGCTTCACTTCTCTGGGCCTTGCTCTGTCCTCCTACCCTTTGTCTGTCTTCTCTGCTCAGACTGTAAATGCTTCTGCTGCAGTTGTACAGTGCCAGGCACCATGAAGCACCAACTTAGATGGGTCCTCTAGGTGTTCCTGTCATAGAAATAACTAATAATAATAACTCCAAAGTCTATTGAAATCAATGCATGTCTGTCCAAGAGAGATCC